TGCAATTTTCTACTTTATGTTTTGTTGGTAAATTATTGAACTGTAGTATTTGGTTTTATGTATATTTGGTCAGTGTTTATTAATCAAATTAATAACTCTAAATTTAATTTACTAATGTTTTAGTTACCATTTTAGTTCCTGCTTTGTTTATTTGATGAGCCAAAAAGGTAATATAAATTGTTGAAGTTTTATGTTCGTTGTTTTTGGGTTATCATTCACAGTTGTTATAATCTTTACTATTTTATCATTCAGTCAAGGGGTTATTATATTAAATACTGTTAATTTTAGTTACTATATTATTACTTATTTTTTAGGAATTATTACGAATATTATTTATTTTACTTGTTATCAAACAGATTAAGCTGAGTGCTATATTTATTATTGAGAGAATTTTTGATTTTTCGTATTGTTAAATTTTGATAAAGTTAATTGAAGTTATATTTTTCAGAATTTATATCTATTTATTACTGTTAAGTCAAAGTGGCTAAGTTTATATATTATTATTTATTATTTTCTTATTGAATACGTTAACATTAAGTTAATTATTTATTTAGATGTTAAGATACACACTCAACATTACATAGGGTGGGCTGCATAAAGTTTTGTGTCGGTGACACCTCCTACCTCCAGTTATTCTATTACATTAATTACACACAATAGGGTGGTCGGCTTTTGAAATGGTACAACAGGCAACTGTTAATCAATGGTAAAAATGTCTGGTGGCCGGGTAAAGTATTTCACCGCTAAATATCCCCGGCTCGTAAAGGAATATTAGATTTTCTAATATTAATTAACTTAAAATCTATTACCTGAAGTTTTCAGTAATATATTAGTTTAGGTTGTAAATAAATACATTTTGATTCAATAACATGTCGAAACTTAGTTTGTAATAATTGGAGTAGTAGTTCATTGTGATTAAATTTTTATCAATTCATACTAATTATTTATGTATTCTTGGTTCATGTCATTATAACAACAGTCTAGTAGACTGAGTCTACTAAAGTTTTTGCTAAACTATAATTATAAATAATTTGGTCTTTCAAATCTTAATGTAAATTGAATTTCTGTAAATCAGCTAAAGTAGCAGTCGTAATTTTTGCTATATTTTATTAAATGTATGTCATTTTGGTTGGAGAAAATCATCTATGTTTTATTCATAGTGAAAAATTAAAAAAATTACCAAGTAAAAAAAAATACAAATAAAATACAAACATTTTCAAGCAAAGAAAAGTAAACACGTTTAGCTAAGATATTTTTTTTTATAAGATTTAAAGTAAGGTAAATGTTAAATTATAGTGAAAAAACTGAAAATAAATAAATAAACAAGGAAAATTAGTTAAATATTAAATAATCATATTTTAAGTTTAACAAACAAACATTTTGCTTAGAGACATTTTTATTGTTTAAATTTATGATAATATTATACTAAAAATATAAAAAGCAAAAACTTATAGTCAATAACAGATTAAACACCATAATATAAATTGGAAAATCCAGCTCTATAAGTACAAAAAATTATTAATACTAAAAATATTTTAGACTATTAACTGCATATAATTTAAAATAAATTTTATTTACGTTATTGCTATTTTTCATACATGTTTTTAAATTGAATACAAAAATAAACTTAATGAAATTACTTAAAATTGTATTATACTCTATTAATAATTTTGCTAAATTGTTTGTATAAAAAGTTTTAATGCAAAAAAATAATGCATTAAATTAAATAACAATATTTAAAGAGAAATAACATTTAAATAATATAATAGTTACCTAAAAATAAATGTATAAGCTGATGTATTTATAAAATATGAAAGATTAGCTATTTGAAAAATATATTTTCTTCATTTTCCTCATCTTTCTTCCAACTACTTGGGGTCGACAACCCTTACTTAAACTTCCAAAACCATTTATTTGAAAAATATATGATAAATAATAATTTTCATTGAATGATTAACTTATCATGAATCACTTAATTAATCGAAAAATAAAAATAATATTAATTATTTTTTTATTAGTTTCTATCATTTCAATATTTTTTTAATATATTAATCATAAAAAATAGACATTTCCTGGAAATACTCTTCCTTTCACATAGGTATAAATAAGTTGATAACTTCTAAAATACTTGTCCAAAATTTGTTATCGATCAATCATTTTCTTAATTAAATTATTTTATATTAAATGAGCTAATTATGTATGTTGCCATTTGTAAAACTGAATATCAATAAAAAAAATATTAATATTATTTTTATTAATTAAATTAATCATAATAAGTGAATCATCCTGTATAAGTATTGTTCCTAATTCGAAATTAGACCACAATTAAATATAATTTTGATATTTTAATAGTATTTTCATATCGTTTAAGTATTTCAAACAAAATGCTAAAATTGACAGCTGTCATAAAAATGATATTGTTTTCCCTTGACCGGATGGTATGAAAATTAGTTCCGTTTAGGTCTTAAAAAAATCAAAAAAATATATTATCTTAGTGAATTAAAAAGTAGGTCAATCTAATATTTACGAAATTACAGTGAAGTAATGAAAAAAATGTGTTAGCTGTTTGATATCCCCTTTTAAACAATAAATTTTGATTTATTTATTTTTCAAAATTGATTAATTTACTCAAACTGATTGTATTTTAAGAACTAAAAAAAATGTAGTTTAAAATATTTTATATAGACGATACATCTATAAGTGAAAAAAATCATATCTTCATGATATAATTTTCAACATTCAAAAATAGATGTTTATATATTCCATTTGAAGAAATGATAATTTATTTGCATACAAATAATAAGTAATATAGTCTATCTAACTATTGAACCTAGGGAACATTTAGTATCGTTATTTTTTCTAATTTAATTAGTTAAAATAAATTTCTATAATGAAATATAATTTCTGATTTTTTAAAATTAATTTATTTGAAAGAAATTGAGAAGTTTGTATTGTTTTGGAGCGCTTTAACGTTTTAGAATTTTATTGAAATTATTTTTGATATTAAATTGTGTAGGGAGTCCATTAACTGATTAATTGTACATCTTATGAATGAACTTATGGAGATAAATAATTAAGTATAATAAAGGTGAACTTGGAACTCTACTTGTAGTATGAAAATATAAATTAACTGTAATTCCTTCTGCTTTTTTATTTCTTTTGTAAATTTTAATTCTGTTTACGATGAATAATTACTGATAATATTTTAATTTCAAAGTTTAACTTTAAAGAAATATGAATATTTTAGTAACTTAAATGATTTTTATATTACAAGTTACTCTGAGTAGTCAAACATCAAACATCTATAAAACAAAATATTTCATAGAACTGAACTTCAAGCATTTTTTACAATATCTACTAATAAATCTTGACAATTAAAAATTATCATACTTTATGATAGAAAAAATATATTCGTATTCGTAAAGTAATATAAAATCTGGAAATTAAAAATTGGATTTTACTCATTAAAATACTTAAATAAAATTAGGAAATTTTAAGTCTGATAAATGTTTATTTAATGTTCCAATGTATTTATTCATATATTTTAAACTTAGATAAATAAAATTATCGTAAAATAATGCAACAGTGTGTTGGCCTTTTGCTGACTGGTCAAATGTTATAATGCATTTATTATTTATGACAACTCAAGTTTACATTATTGTAAATTCGCCTTTACAAAAATAACTGACGTAAGTTAGATTCGAAACAATTCATTCAAGACAACTAACAACAGGTTAGCTGTCAAATTATATGTGAGCCTTATATATTATATTTTTATTATGTCAACAGTGATAAGAATCTATTCACTGATGTTTCTTTTGTTTGATGGTTAATAATACTGAGTCATACAAGTTGTGTAATTTTTTTATATTGATGGAAAAAGAAATTACACATTATTGAATTTTTTTGTCAATTAATATAATTAATACAAATATAATCAATATGAAATATTATTAAACTTATAGTAATAACATATAAAATACTGATTCAATTTAACTTTTTGTAACTGTGCTACTTGAATAGTAAATCTTACAAAAAAATTTCAAATTACAGTAGTTAAAATTTTTAAGAGAAAGTTCAGTTGCTTTATTTGTAATATTAACCTTACAACTTTGTGAAATAGCTTTAATAGTTGAAACAAAAAAATTATGATGATAATTTATACATATAAATTAGTTTATTACTAGTCATTATGAAAATATAATTCCAGATTTTAATTTGGTTGATAACTTATCTAATGAAATTAAGAGAACTTCGTTAAGTACCAATGGATAAACGCATTAAGGAACAATTATATTGTACAAGTGTTTTATTTTGGTTTACAATTAACATTAATGATACTACCCTATTTTTATAAAATACCAAATAATAAAAATTATTCTTATACTTGAAAATGTTGTTATTAAATGAATATTAATACAATTATTGTTGTTCACGATTCAATTAGAAATTGGGTTCGTAAAATTTTCAACATCTTTTAGGAGATAGATTATGAATTTAAAATGTTTGTAAAAAGAAATAATATTATTTCGAAATTCTCTATAATAATATGTAGTTAATTTAATTTTTCATCTCTTTAGAGTTAAAGCCATGAATTTGATTTTCTCAAATGGAAACCACTGTTTTCAACTTGATAATATGATAGAATAAAATATTCTCCGTCCACGCTAAATAATCAATCTATATATAAAAATTCTATAACGGAAAAGTTGTAAGAGCAAAATTGTTTGCAATTTTTTTCTACTATATTATCAAGTTATAAAACTCAGTATCAGTGAGTTTTTGTCAAAGTTGTAACAAGTATAGATATTAACTAACAATTATTAACATAGCTATCATAAAAAACGTTTCGAAGCGAATCTTTTAAAATTTTATTTATTGAAATTAAAATGTTCATTATGAAAAAAATTAAAAACTGTTTCACAATTTTATTTAAAAATTACATTTATCGTTGAAGTGATTTTTTTTACACTTTGATTAATTTTTTAATTTTATTTTAGGTTCATGGTCGTTTTAGTATGCTTAATATTCAGCGTATTATCGACAATCGAAGAATATTCAGGATTTGCCAATGAAACGTTATTTTGGATGGTAAGAATACACAATTTTTTATATAATTCATTTTATTTTTGATAATATAAAGAATGAATCAGTTTGTTACAGTTATTTGAAATGTCGTATTCTCAAAACAAATTGTTTCAGATTTTTAAGAAAAAAAAAATTTTATGTAATTTGTTATGGTATAATTTTTTGAGAGATTAATAATTAAAATCTCAGTACATTGGGACCTAGCATATCGTGTATTTGACTTAGTAAACTTTAACTTAAATTTTGAAAAAAAGAAATTTTACAAATTTTCACTTTGAGGGCCGCATATTACTAAAAAAAAAGAAGTCAGTAATTTCTTTTTTTATCTTACAGTACATTAAAAATGTTTTCATTTGATTCTGTTTTGAAGAATAAAGATGTTCAGTTTCTTTGAAAAACACTTCAAAATCGATCGCATATGCTGAAAATTGTATTATTTTAGAATTAATTGGCCGAAAATTCGTATAAATGAGATTTTCTAGTAGTTTTACTATTTTTATTTCAAAGTACATTGTTCAAAGTACATGTTAGTCTTAATTTCACATAGATTTAATAAACGCAGATTTTTAGAAATAATATAAAAAATTGGACGGGAATAAATGTTAATATGATATTTATCATGTCCCAAAAATTACGTAAATATTTGCATTTCAATAATAAGTATGTTATCAACAAGGTAAATGTCAATAAAAATGACGCAATGATCCGTTTAGTTTTTAAAAAGACATTCCAATGTAAAGTAAAAATTGAAAACATAAAAGTTGACTGTTTGTAAAAACAAAAAGTGTGGTGAGTTTTCCAAATTATGGTGCTCATAGCTTTAATTAGATATGGTTTGGTTTTGTCGTATTATTGAGCATAATTGATCTTGTAGAAGTAGAGTATTTATTTGGATATGCACATACAAAAACACGTCATAAAAAAACTAATATTTTCTCAGCTAGTCATCAGAGCTAAAGACGATCGTGTAAAAATTATTTCAAACTTGTTTGTTTTTGGTTAAAAAATTCAAAATTGTGCTATTTTCTATGAACAATAATTGTTTACCGTATTTGATATAGGTTAATCTCAGTAATTTTTTATGCTTTTTCGATGTAACATAAAATAATTGTTAAATTTTGTAAAAATGCAGTACTAAATAAAGAAAATAACGATTCTTAATACAAACACAAATATTTCATGTGTTTCTGTGTGAATATTATAGAAGATTAAAAAAAGTACACCTATCAAATAGAAATTATAATAAAAGCGTAAATAATTTTCTATCTTCTAGTAATTTATTTTAACTTCAATGAAAAGTTGTCATTTAAGATAAAATACGAATAGTGTACGTTTTTCTGATCCACTTAGAGTATTTAAAAAAATATAAAGGATTATAATTTTAGGTAGAATTGCTACGTTAAAAAAACTCTATTAATAGGGTATTGTATTTTGTTGGACTAAATAAATTCTAAAAAAACAAATTTTTTAATACATAATTTACAATAAAATGTTTTCATATTTAATAACTTTGGTAAAGTAATAAGGTGACAATATCTATATCAAATCTTTTTTTTCGGTGAAATGATCTAACAGGAAATATAATGAAATTAATTGAGTTTTTTTAGATTGTGGAAATTGATGACACCTGTTAAAATAATTTATCATAGTTGATTAAACGTAAAGTAAGAAAATAATAATAATTCGAAAAAAATATTTCAAGTGCAATACGCTGTTTTATTTTATAATCCATCCACCTTAATTTGAACTTAAATTTATGATGGTGTGTATACACTTAAGGTATTATTTATTTTATGATAGTTGTCTATTAAAAAATAAGGCTTATATCAAATTAAAGTGATTTTTGATAAACATATTATTTTACTATAAAGTATTATCAAAATGCCTATAGATTCTATGGTTCATTAAATTTCAAATGAAGCCAGTTGTGTGGCTTTACATTTGCTAATTTTTTACCTATTCATAAACTACATACAACATTTATTGATTATCAAAAATAACCAGTAAAAATACAAATGTTATTGATATAAATAAATAACACACTAATGTGTCACAGTATTCTGTGCATACAGTTTTTTAATTATTAACTTAATTACCTTTGTTATAAAATAGGAAATATGCCTAGTTGTATTCTTTGGTGTAGAATACATGATACGATTGTGGTCTGCTGGATGCAGATCAAAATACATGGGCACCTTTGGTCGATTTAGATTTGTCCGGAAGCCTATATGTATTATTGGTAAGTTGTATATTTATCAGAAAGAAATGTTTAGTTTCTTTCTGTGCGCAATGTTTATGACAATGAATAAATTAATTTTTGTAAAAATCACTTAAGATTTGATTGTTGTGGTGGCTTCAATTGTGGTATTGTCAATTGGCTCAAATGGACAAGTATTTGCTACTTCAGCAATCAGAGGAATTAGATTTCTTCAAATTTTGAGAATGCTTCATGTAGACCGTCAAGGTGGTACATGGCGGCTTCTCGGCTCAGTTGTATTTATTCACCGACAAGTAAGTTATTGAATAACTGATTTATAATTAATAGCATTGGAAGTAATTTAGTTTTGAAGTTCAGTTAAATGTAGTAGTATATTTAATAAATTCTTTAAATAAACACGTCATTTTATTTTTATTATTGATAGAGTTATAAAATTATATTTGATCGGTTTTCGTTTCTAAATTAAAGTTATTCTTTATTATTGACAAGTTTTTAATTAAAAAAGTTTAATTAAAGGCAAACAATAGAAGAATACATCCTAATGTAAAGTAACTATGTTGTATGAAAGTACATACTGTACAGCAATATAAAGAAAAGAGATGAAAGGTCCAAAGTGTTAAACATTGATGAAACTAAAATGCGAGGTATGTTTCGATAGTCTATTGTTGTTGTTTGAATTAACGGAAGGTAAAGATAAGAGACTATCTCAAAATACAACATGGAATCAGCTAAAACATATTTGTTCAAGTATTCTATACAACGATAGTTCCTATTACTATCAGGTCCCGTTTAAAACTCTTTGTCCTATAATTGTAAAAAATAAAATTGTATAACCGAAGCATGTAGAATAAATTTTCTTATTTTACATTTTAGGAGCTAATCACTACACTGTACATAGGATTTTTAGGTTTAATTTTTAGCAGTTACTTTGTGTATCTAGCTGAAAAAGACGCAGTTAGCAAGGATGGTAAACATAGAAACGACTTTTCCAGTTATGCTGACGCACTTTGGTGGGGAGTGGTGAGTATATCTGAATTCTTAAATTTAATACTATTAGAACTTTACGTTCAAATAATTTAACATTCAACTTCAGTTTCAAAATTGACAACCTGTCAAAATAACAATTTGCAAATAAGAAATTATTTTATATCACAGTTCATTTAAATTAAATTAATTTATTGTTAGATAACTGTAACGACAATCGGATATGGTGACGCAGTTCCTCAAACGTGGATTGGAAAAATAGTTGCTTCGTGTTTTAGTGTATTTGCGATATCATTTTTTGCACTACCAGCAGTAAGTATTATTATATTTTGCATAATATTTTATATTTATTAAGGTAAAAACTATAATTACATAGTAAATACTAACACGTTTGTATTAAAATGTGTTTATTTTTCTGATTCCAATGAATATTATAAATCTTTTCTATTTAAAAATTTTAATGATAATAGAAAATCATATACTTTTATATTTAATTGAACATAAATGATAGTGTTCAAAAAAATGTATAGCCAGTAGAAAATGTTTGAAAAATTAAATGAAAATATAATTACTTTAAGTATGTGGCAAACAAAATAATCGGAAATACATTGAGAAGTCTAACTTTTCCATTACACTATATATAAATTACAATTAATATTATAACCCGAGCTAAAATATTGAATGTAAAAATTGTCTAGGTTCCAAATTACGCAATAATAATAATTTAGCCAAGCCTCTGAACACATACAATTATTTGTGTATACTGTAGGATAAAAGTATTTAATACAACAATCTAAAAATATAATAAAAATATTTATTTATTTTTATGATAATTATAATTGAAAAATTGCCAAAAGAATTACAGAATTTTTTTAATACTCAATGGAAGAAAAATAATTTAAAATACATTTTTTATTTATTTAGATTTCTGAAATCTTTTTTATTGAAATTGCATCATCAAAATACCTAAAATCATATGTATATAAATAATGTAATGACCAAGATGTAAGATTATTGGTCATTAAGTCTGAAATGGGTTCTATCAGCGTGTTGTTAGTGAGGGTTCAGAACAATAAAGATAAGTTGATATTGAAATAATTAATTAATGTGCTCTCCGTTGAAGTGTAAAAACAAAGAAATCGAAAAGTATCTTTAATAGTACACTGAGGCAACGGAACTGAATGGCCGTCCCACGAATCCCTTGTAATGTGTCTATGTATAAGGTACGACAAGTCAGTGATAATCGATTTAAGTTTGAAATTTGACATATGTAAATTAGATCTATTGTTTTACTGTTCTTTACTTAGAATATTAATGACAATAATTTGGGCAGTATGAATTACTGCGATTGATATGGTATGATTTCCCACAAGGTCCGTTAGAATCCAAAAATATCCAGTCCGTATATTTTGCTGAATGTGTTAATATTGATACATTTGAGATTTTTTATTTAATTTTTTTGAAATAAATAAAGTGTTATGCAAACAATGATTCATAAGTGATTCAATAAAAATGAGTTGACGACAACACGGGTTTAAGTGTTCACATAAATATGGTGACTTTGAAGAAAAATTCCAACTAAGTTCTGTGTAGTTTCTCAATGCTTTTTATTATGGTATTGCAAATGATCTCCACCTTAGTGACATCATAATCAGTACTTTGTAAGAATTAACCAATGCATGATTTTTATTTTAAGACAAGATACATTATAAAAAATGGTCAAATTGAGACATATATTTGTATACATATACATAGAAATAGTATAAATATTTCGAAAGACAAGTTATTTATTTGTTTGTGTACAAGTAATGGGTTATAAAGATTATAGTTGTAGTTTATACAATTTTCATAAATATAAGATATGCAATGAAACGTGTTATGCATATTATGACAATATTAAAAGAAAATATTATTAAAATAAACAGAAAAAAATATTCTAATTGTGTTTTTTTAGAAGAAATTTCTGGAATCATAAATAAGAATTATACAAATATTTATTCATAAAAATTACCAACATGTATTTAATAATTTTATTTTTGCACTATGAAGTAATAGTACAATTTTTCTTTTAGGGCATTTTAGGTTCGGGATTTGCGTTAAAGGTTCAGCAAAAACAACGTCAAAAACATTTTAATCGACAAATACCAGCAGCAGCGATGTTAATACAATGTCTTTGGCGATGTTATGCAGCAGATAAGTGCTTTAAAAGTCAAGCTACCTGGGATATCTATATAAAAGAACCAGGACATCCAAAAGATAACTCATCATTAAGCAAAGTACGTACTTACTTTTAAACAATTTAAATTCATCGTTAAAACATATTTATACTTATTTATTTTTTAATAACTTTAATTAACAAAAAATATTAGTCTCTAATTATGCAAGTGGCTAAACGTGCCAGTGTTTTAAAACGAAAAAGATCAAAAAGTAAAATGGATGCACCAAGCTCAACTACAAATAATAATAATAAGGATTGCTCACAAGCTCAAAGTTTATCTTTATTACCTAATCAACGAATAGACAATGAAGGTGAAGTGGTATTTTACATCGAAGAACCTAAAGCAAGTTAGTAAAACGAGTATTAATAAATATCTTAGGACTATTTAATTAAATTGATTTGGGTTTTTAAGTAACTCCAAATCGCGTGAGAAGAGAAGCTAGAGGATATGTTAGTCAAACAAGTTCTGTTACCGAAGCAGCCAGCGACGAGGTTGATTTAGAAATGGAGCCTGAACGAGTTACCACGTATTTACATTTAAATTTTAAGTTAATCATATTCAAACCAAAATTTAATTTACTGTAGACTGACTGATGTACATAAAAATGCCATTCGAGCAATTAGAAAAATAAAATATTTTGTTGCCCGGAGAAAATTCCAACAAGCTAGAAAACCTTATGATGTACGTGATGTCATTGAACAATACAGCCAAGGCCATTTAAATATGATGGTTCGAATTAAGGTAACTTTATTTATGCTAATTACTTTGGAGTTTATTGGCGTAAAATTATCTATAAACTACATTTTTTTCACAAAAAACGTAAAAAAATAATGTAATAAGTAATTATTTATTTATTAAATTGATTGTAAAACCAAAAAGTGTAAAATCATACTATGATTTACTTAATCAAAATAAACATATATTTTTAATTAAAGGAATTACAAAGGAGACTTGATCAGACACTGGGAAAACCCGGCAGTTACTTGGCAGGAATTGATAGAGCTGGTAATGTTAAGCCCATGACGATTGGCGCCCGTTTGTATAGGCTAGAACAACAAGTATGGATATTTATTTTTTTTTGCTGTATATAATCAAAACCCTTTATTTAATACCTAACCTTACATTTTATTTTAGTTATCAATAATGGATAAAAAATTAGATCAGCTTGTCTATCTATTGAATGTTCAAACTCACAGGCAACAATTTCCAGCCTTGGAAGAACAAGTGTAGTTTAAAAATGAAATATATTTTAAAAATCTTTTTTTCTCACTACGTTAAGTTTATTATTAGACTTTTTTATATTGTTTTTGTCAAAATTTTTTCATGCAAATTTAGAATATATTTAGAACCATGAATGTTAATATTTAGAAGAATGGTCGCCAAAAATACTTATAAAATAATAGTATCGTGACTAAATACTTTTAAGAGATGATCTCTGAGGATGATACTGCACTATTTATAAAATTTTATCTTGCATTATTAATTTTTTCCTCCTAAATCTCATTGAAAATCACTATTTTTCTACGTGTCCATTTAACTTGTAAATGATTTCATATTAAAGAAATATTTAAAAATATATGAAAACTGTTATACAGTAGTTATATATAATTGATTCTTTATAAATCATAGAAATTTACATTATATTTTATAATTTTTTTAAATTATTTAAATGACTGGTGATGATTTACATAGATTTTATTAAATCGAATTTTTTAAATTATTATTAACATAAAATATGTATTTAGATTAAATGAATATTAAAATTGTATTGAGCTTATAGATATTAGATACAGAATATTACAATCCTAAAAATATTAGTGATATAGTGCTGAAAAAGCATTTAATTCAACAAATTAGCAATAATAATGTTAAGTATACTATTCATTCTTTAGAAATAAATTTTATAGTAATATTCTTATAGAAAGTAACTAAATGATTTATTATGTTAAAAGCTTATTGAAAAAATTAACTTTTTTAATTCAATTTTTTTAATTTATAAAATAATGTATAAACATTTCCACAATATGTTTTAATAATTATCGTAGAGTGACCAAATAATCGTAAATTATACAATCAAGTATGAGACTAAAATGTGTTATGTTTTTTTTTAAATTAGATTTTATCGGGACCAATCAATGGTAATGATAAATGTTATGTCTACTTTAATATTCGAAAGATTGTAAGAAATCTCTTAGGAACGCCAAAACTGTGTCTTAATTAAAACATAGGTAACACGTAATTTGAACAATTTAAAAAAGTATAAGATTTAAAATGACAAATTTTTTTTTGAAATATGTTGTATAAAATTTTTAATAAATTTATTTTATATCATATCATGTATGAAAAGGTTTTAAATAGTTAAATTTTTATAATAAAAATTTCGGAAATTAAATCTGTACATTTTAAATATCAATAAAATAATAATAACACTAAATGTTTCACAATTTATATCTTATTTCAATTTAACAAGTTTTTAAAAATTAAAAGCAAGAATTTAATTATTGATTTTTTAATCTATTCAAACATTACCTATTATATATATACATATATTATGAACTAATATTTTCAATATTATTCTTTATCTATGAACCTTGAATATTAAAGTAAAAATATATTTTGAATTAATAGCGACGGGTAAAATATAGTAGAATTGTAATCGTTAAGAATTGATTTATATAAAGAAATTATTGATGAATTAAAGTTCATGCAATTTTTATGTTCTAACTTATATTCAAATAAAATATATTCAGTGGAGTTAATTATTATATCAGTACAAACATTTATAAAAATTTCGTTATATCGAGTAATGCCTAAAATTAAAGTTAAAAGATTATTTATGATAATAGTAATACAAATCCATGATAATATAAAAATATAATTAAGTATATCTTAATTATGTTGTTTTATTTCAATTAATAATAATTATTGTCAAGCTAAAATATTTCTTTAATAACAAGAGATATAATAAATATAATACAACTGAATTCAATTCTCTTAATTTATTTAATTTTATTTTCATTAGAGAATTGTGCGCAAAAATATTTAATTTGTATACTCATAAGTGACTAATATATATCTCGGTAAATTTGTAAAGCAATCTTAAATCTTGGGTCTAAGTAAGTGCCTTTTATACTCAGTTAGTTTAATATTGATTTTATCTGTTATAATGTTGTATTTTTCTGGATTAATTGAAAGCAATTTGTGAAACGTGTGAAATTTATAATTTTTTCAACATTGTTTGGTAAATTATTATTGAAGAATCTATTTATCAATTATAATTATTGGGTAGTGTTACTAAATATTAGCTGAACGAATTTTCTCTTTTACAGGTATTAGATTTTTAAATTTTCTTAAGTTCTAAAAAATAATATATTTTAGTAAGATTTGTAAATTTTATTTAACATGACATTTTTTTAGTACTACATAAAATTTATGGTTCCTTTAGTTTCAAAAATATTTTACTTAAATAGTAGCGTTTTTATTAATTTATAATATGGTCACACCTATCAACAATTGCAAAAGTATTATAAGCATATATTTAATATGCTAATATTGTAATTTATGTATGTATATCTACGACTGTATTTAATTTTACCTATCACGAATATTGCTACTGTGATCATTAAACTGAACTATGTTGATATTTGAATAGAGTGCCTAAAAAGCAGCGTTTTTGCTCATTTGAATCGAAACTACAAACTAAAACGACGCTTTATTCAAAACACATATTCGTTTAATATTTTTTTCCTGTACATTGTTGTTTATTTTTAATTTTAGAAACCAATTTTTGGCTTTAGAATGATTTTATTTTATTTTACTATTACTATCTGTAATTATTATGTATTTAATATGTATATTTTAGTCATTTGAATATTATTTCATTATGTATTTTAAAAGTTATATGTACGAGTAGAATTTTATAAAAAAAAACATTTTGGTCTAATTTTATCTCTCCAAGTTTAGTTTCATGAACTTTAATTTGTATATTCTTTTAATTTCAGTTTTTATTATTAATTATTAACTAGTTTTAGTTGTATTATTGTAATAGTTATGTATCTAACATTTTATTACTCATTACTGACAAAAATAAATTAAATTAAAAATCATCATTCATTTATTATTTATTTTAAATAAATGATGAGATAATTAAATAATTAATTAATTGTTGTTTCTTAAAATAATAAACTTAGTTGAAAAAATAAGTTATACAGATTGATTGATTAACTATGTATCGTCCTATATCTTTATAAGTATAAAAATATTATTATTTTATCTTTTCAGTTATTATTGGTTTCTTTGTTTTATATAAAAAAAATTGGCTTATCCTCTTCTCTCCCCTTTCAAATAGTATCAACTTAAGCTTGTTAAATGTAAATACATATGTTTAATTAATTTAAACACAAGAAAATGATTTGTCAATAACAAGTTTACTGGTTTAAAAGTTAGTCAAATTAAGACATTTAAAAGTTATATTTTAAAATATTGTATAATTGTTAGTCCCCATCTCTTTTTTTTTTGGCAATCTCGCATGTCGTAATGCCTTTTTAGACTGTTTTATTACTATTATTTTATAATTTATTACAATTTAATCATGACTTAGATAACTATTACATGAAAATTTATATATTTAAATTATAAAGCATTTTTATCATATCAGTTTGGTACATAATAGATTTTTTGTGACATTGTATCATTTTATAATTTACATTCAAATATTTAAAAAAATATATAAAAGTAATATGCATGGATATTACAATAATCTTTAAGCATTTATGAACCGCTCTACTCCACACATTTTATTCCAAAAGTGATAATATCTTTTAAATTCTGGTTTAAAAATTGTTTCAAACTAGTGATATTTTTTAGCTAGATCATTTTATTATTTTTTAGTTTATTATATATCTTTCCATTAAAAATGTTGATACCTTTTAAAGAGGAGTGAGAGGCATGAACACATTTTATTTTTGTAATATAAAATATAGGATACTTCTAAATAGAAAAAAAAATATAAAATATGTTCATTACTTTTAATGATGTTTGCTTGTACATAGTTCAGTCAACTTGTATACCATTATTGACTGCAATTACACTTGTTTAATTTAATCTATTAATTGAAGTAGTCTGTATAAAATAGATTATAAATTATTAAAAAAGGCTTTAAATCTTAATCTAAGCCTAATCTTAACTTTTTTCAAAAAAAATTTGAATTTTTATTTTGATTGGTGACAGAAATAAACAATTTTTAATATTTATAGGATTTTATAATAAAATAAAGTCTTATTGTGTGTGCAAAAAAAATCATTATATTGTTACATAGCCATCATTCTAAACACATTCTGAACTTGTAAGAAGTATTCTCTGAGACAACACTAGGATATTTAATGCCCAATTAAGTGAAATTAGCGCATGCGATATCACATAATTATACATCATATTAATTATAGTTGAATCAACTTCTACATTTTTGTGTGTAGATAATTAAAAATATTTACTGAAATATTCTGTATATATTATATCCTATACAGATTTTTTAAGGTTAAAACTACATAACTATTAAAAAAATTACTTACTGATGATACGTTTAATGATTAATGTGTGAAAAATTTATACTTTAAGTGAACATTTCTATCATTATTATTATATACCGATAATATCATAGCAAATTTCTTAAGAGGTATTTTTAGATTTTTATCATTTTAATGGTTTTTAGGCTATTTCGACGAATAAATAACTTGTTTTTTTTTAAGATAACATCTACTTTTTTTATAAAAGCACTATGCTGGGAATCACAAAACTATTTTAATAAAAATTGTAATAAGTATTAAATTTAATATTATAACTTATAAAAACCAAAATAACCATTCAAAAATTCGGTCATAATTAAAAAAGAATAATAAAACAATTCGTTTATATCCTCTAATGGGTCATGAAATGATTGTTATCAAAATATGTGTAACATATGTAGTTTATAAACACTTATAATAGTTGATTTATTGACAATATTAACCCATCAATATATGTCATTTTTGTTAGATGATTTTGGCGATAATAATATGGAACAAGCTCGTGGCGTTTTAAACGCGCAATATTATATGATTGCTTTGCGATAATACCTTAACTTGGAAGTATTTATACGTCGATGAGCATTAAAAAATGTTCTACGCATATTATTTGTTTTGAGTTTTATTCTAATACTACATTCTTGCATATACATATAATGACTGAAAATACAGGAAATTTAGGACCGTCAGTTTATCTGACGAATCGTAACTATCAAGGCAACCAATTACAAGAGAATTTGAGTAAAAGATTCAAATGGAATGAAAGTCCATATACGCGGGCAATGAAAGATGATAAATATACAAGTGAATATTAAAATGTCAATCAAAGTAGCTTTTTTATCGCCAATGTCATACCTAGTCTCGTATTTAATACCATATTAAATTGAATTTTGGATAACAATTCATCTAAAGCTTACAATATTTATTTAACTTGTATTCAATTTCCTGAGTTCTTAAACTTCTATCTTTAAGTTTTATTAAATAGTACTAATTGAATAATTTTATTTTTACATAAAATTCAAAAATCATTTATTTTAGTTTCAATGATAATAACGTACATGATTGAAATTAACTCTAACAACAAGTATTTAGAAGAAGGCACAGTATCATGTGCTCCTTTCGAGTCCTTTAAGTCCTTGGAATATAAGTTTAGATATAGTTCAGGATAAATATGAATCTTAGGCTTAGCTTATTTTTAAAACTAGAGCATAATTTTAAAATTTAATCTAAAAATAAGCTAAATACATTTCATTTATTTAGTAAGCATAGAGGATTAGCTTTATAATCCAAAAGTTATGACACAGAACTTAAGCTATAACTTGCGTATTACAAGTAATGTCTTTACTGCCCTAACAAATAATTTTCTAATTTGATTTAGACAATGAAGATAATGAGTTATTTAGCAATCAAATAAGTTACATGAAGATGAAAAAATTAGAAGAAAATATTGTGAAAGATGTAGTCAGTGGCAAGAACTCCTTGCATAGGTCCATTGCCCCAATATTAAAATTAGCTAAATTAATAGCTTTGTTACCTGTACAAGGTACAACAAGCCGCAATACTAGTTACTTAGTGTAAGTAATTAAACATTGTTGTGTAATTATTAAAATGTTGTTATTTCGTTAATAAAAATAAAAAATTGTTTCGATTTTTTATTTTAAGAATAAAACAATTCTTTCAGAAAATTGAAGAGTTATTTAAGTAAGCGATGAATTTTCTTTTATTTTTTATGGCCCATATAAGACTCTAATACCTCCTTCTAAGATGCATGTTTGTAAAAATAGATGTACTTTAATAACTCAAATTCTAGAGAGGATGATTATAATTCTCATTACTAATCTGAACTTTTTTTAAAAAACGAAAGTGATATTGTGCAGTTTTCAAACTTGTTCAGTTCGTTAAAGCATTGTCACAATATTGGTTTTCCAAGATTCTTCTTATTATTTTAAAAATTATTAATAAAAAATATATTTGAAAGCAAAAGTTTTTATAAGAGTATTTAAGAATTTTATCATACGATATATACAAATGACTTACTATAAAAATTCAATATGAAATTACCTAATTCATAAAATAAAACTCAAACACTTAATAAATATTTAGTTGACAAAAGTTAACTATCAGAAAATTAAACTAAAATTCTTAAATAGTTTACTTAATCTAAACAATTAATGTATATAAAGTTATACTTTATTTAATGACAAATTAAATTATTTTATATTGCTTACATTTTCTTTTTTAGTTTCAATTGGTTCAGTTGGACAGTAATTTATGTAGTCATTGTACTTACCTCAACGTTTTTAATATTAAGTCTATCGTTTTATAAAGTATATCAAACAGGATTGACGTACTACAGCACAGGTTAATTTAATTATTTATGTTTTTTGGAAATTTTTAATTTAAGTGTACAGTTTTATTTTTAGTAAATATTGTGTTTTTTGGGAGTTCATTGGTTATTTATATTTTATTTGTGCAATTGGCCAAGGAGTGGCCAAATATAATGCGAAAATGGGAATTGGCAGAAAGGGAAATGAGGCAGTTTGGTCACCCATTACACACAGCGTTGAAGTTTAAGTTATTGACAAGTTTAATCATGGTCTTAGCTATTTGTAAGTTACAAAGTTATTTAACATAATTAATATTATGAAATCATTTCAGTTTAACACATTTAAGTTAAAATAAAATCCATTTTCAGTTGAACATATAGCTTCGATTCTGAAAGTTGTAGACAAAGCCATAAATTGCTCTACTGATAGTGCAAATATGTTTCGAGTTTATTTTGCAGTATCATTTAATCAAGTTTATAGTGTTGTCAATTTTTCATGGTTTATTGCTCTTCCTATAGTTTTTTTAAATTTGATTATTACTTGTGCATGGAACTTCATGGATTTATTCATTATAATACTTTCGTGTGCGCTTGCAGATAGATTTAAACAACTAAACCAACGGCTAGCTCTGGTGAAAGGAAAGGTATTCAATTATAAATCGTATTTTTTATTTTTAATCAAATATTAAAATAACATTCATATATTTTTGATATATATGTATATAAATAATTTTTTTTTTTTAATTTATATTATATTTTAATAAAATTATAATATATTTATATATTAGTTTATAAAATATTTTTAAATAACTCTGAAAATTACAATATGCATCAATCATCTTAAATATAAATTTCATATTAAATACATAAAAAAAAAAAACTAAATTACATCAACATATTTTGTATATAATGGCATTATAACTTATTTATCAAATGCTTTATATTATAATAAATTCTAAAAATCATTACAGGTTCTTCCAAGTACTTATTGGAGAAAATCTAGAGAAACTTATAATCTTTTAGCATCTTTGACTAGAGATTTCGATGAATTTTTATCCCCTGTTATTCTACTATCTTTTGCTAATAATTTATATTTTATTTGTCTTCAATTGTTTAATAGTTTGAAGTAAGCAGATTGATTTAATCGAGAAATCAAAAACTATAAAAAATTTTATATTAACATTTTTTTAGACCAATGCACAATGTATGGGAAGCATTGTATTTCGTATATTCATTTAGTTATTTGGTAGGTAGAACCTGTGCAGTCTCTTTATATGCAGCATCAATTAACGATGAAAGCAAAATACCAAAATATGTTTTATTTTCTGTTCCATCGGAAAGTTATTGCGTAGAAGTAAGCGATGAAAATTTTGTACAATTTTTATTTTAATTATAAATAATTTCCTTTTACCTATAAATATATATATTATAATAAATATTCCTCTGTATATAACAAATATATAATATTAGTACATCAATTACAACTCAAATTGAAAAGAATAAGGTTATTTTTAAAGAAAAATTTTGTCAATAAATAAAAATTAATTAAATTTTTAATCTGCTACTTAAATTATTAACATAATAAAATTTAACTTTAAGAATAAAGTCTTTCAATTATATATTTATTTTTCATTTAAACACGATATTATTTGATAACAATATTATTTAGTAAATAATAAAGGAATAAAAAAAATGCATAAAATACGTATATAATTATCAATATTTGTTTAGGTTTCAAGATTTATCACTCAAGTAACATCTGATGAGTTAGCCTTAACCGGATATCGCTTTTTTTCAGTAACTAGAACACTCATGCTTACGGTTAGAATTTTGAATTCAAAGCTATTTCATAAAATAGTTCTTATTATTAATCTAATTGTTAATTAGGTGGCTGGAACCATCGTTACTTATGAAATTGTTTTGGTGCAATTTAACAGTGTTACAAATGATGTAATTCAACAAAACAATACATTGGATTGTCCATGAATTATGTTGAGATTATTTTAATAATTAAAAATAATAATATGTGATAGTATCCATATTTACGATTTATTTGTATAGTTACAATAAAATTTGGCATATAAAAAATAGTACACTTGTACTACAAAATTACATATTTTATAGTAGGTACCAAAAATATTTTACTACAATACATTGTGAAAAATTCATAAATATTTTTTATTTTGGGTTTATATAAAATATTTTTAAGTTTACTATAGAATACCATTAAATAGCAGACTCTATATTTGAATACAAGACTTTATATTTATCGTACACTCTGTATACAAAGTGTTCAATATGTTTGAAAACACCCATTTTAGCTTCGATGCGAAGCTGAGAAGGTATTGGTTTTACTAAGATGTGTTTTTTTTTTTTTTTTTTTTTTTTTGTCTGTTACCACTTTTTCTCAGCTCTCACCGAACCGATTTCTTTCAATGATACGTCAAAAGATCACAAATCGTATCTAGTCGAAGACATTACCCTTAAAAATTGAAAAAAATTCCCTCGTTCCCCGTAAAAGGGGGAAACCTCCAAAAAAATTACAAATTTAAAAATCGCTAATTTTCGAAATTTTTTCAATTTTTTTTACTTAAAAGTGCCATAACTTTTTCAAAAATAAACATATCAATATAATTCTTTTTTATATAGATGCATAATATCATTACCTTTCATTTGGTATATTTTTTTCATAAATTTAACCCTTAACCTGCCCACAAGGGGGGATTTAAAATGACAACTTTTTCACAAAAAATTAATTTTTTTAACTTAAATTTTGAAAATGTTCCGGAAGGTCTGACACTTTTATATATATCTTAAATTAAAGCTAATGTAATATGCTTTATCATGAAAAAAAAAAATTTCGGACTTTATCTTATCTTCATGGTGAAAATGGCTACCGAATGCTATTTTTGTGTGAAAATTTTCGATTTTGTATTTTCCATTTTTAACTTTATTATGCTATAACTTTTTGAAAAATGTATGAATCATTACAATTTTTTTATGAGAAGTAGTATTTATATAGATCTTTCATTCGACATACTGTTTTTTTAAATCGGACCATTTCCCTAAATACAGGGGGGATTCAAAACATAAAAATGCATATAGAAAGTAGAACTTTTTCAACGTAACTTTTGAAAGTGTTCCGGAAGGTCTGACACTTTTATATATATCTTAAATTAAAGCTAATGTAATATACTTTATAATGGTAAAAAAAAATTTCGGACTTTATTTTATCTTCATGGTGAAAACAGACATTAAACTTAATAAAAAAAATACGATTTTTGTAAAAAAATTCTTTTTTATATTTTTAACTTTATAATGCTATAACTTCTCGAAAGATGTATGGATCAATATAATTCTTTTTTTTGTAGATGCATGATGTCTTTACCTATCATTTGGTATATTTTTTTTATAAATCTGACTTTTTACCTGCCTACAGGGGGGGATTCAAAATGACAACTTTTTCACAAAAAATTGACTTTTTCAACTTAAATTTTGAAAGTGTTCCGGAAAGTCTGACACTTTTATATATATCTTAAATTAAAGCTAATGTAATATACTTTATCATGGAAAAAAAAAATTTCGGACTTTATTTTATCTTCAAGGTGAAAATGGCTACCAAATGCTATTATTGTGTGAAAATTCTCAATTTTATTTTTTACATTTTTAACATTATAATGCTATAACTTATTGAAAAGTGTATTGATCAATATAATTTTTTTATGGGAAATACTATTTTCTAATAATCTCTTTTTTATTCGACATACTTTGTCTTAATCAGGATATTAATAAGGAACTAGCAGTTTATGAAGCTTTTGGAATAATCCACCAATTTTTTAAAATTAAACACTATCTAAAGATTTGCATCGAAGCGTTTTTTTTTGATAGTGATTTTAATCACTGTCAGATATCATTATACTTGATCCAACTATGCCACGTCACCACTGTGCCGCGACCCCCCTGTGCTGGGTTTTTTTTAGAGACGCTATTGATTTTTTTTAGAGGTTAAATAAAATTTTTGCGATTAGAAAGAAAATACACACTTATTTTATAAGAGTGAAATATTTACCCAAACTTAAAATGGCAACACTTAAATTTTCTTTCTTATTTTAATAGAAAATTCAATTTTTAACATATTTATGAAGGAAATAATTTTTAATATCTTACAATTTTTTAATAATTGTCATTTTAAGGATAAAAATTATCTAACTATTAGGATAGTATCCTAATTAAAGACAGATTTTACTACGATCTTATTAATGAATTTAATTTTATAAAGATTGAATGATTTTTCAATTCAAACTATTAGCACATCGGTCGAATGTGCTGTCGATAATTTGTGTTGTGATAATTTAGGCTATCGTTGTGCTACACCGAGTTGTTGTCAATCTTCTCTCTATTTCAGCATTGTCACCGCCATCTTAGCGTATTTTAGCTATAAGCTCTATGTCACTTACGAGCCTGTAGTTTTGTATTTGTTTTGTTGTAAATGTAAAATATCACTTTTATACGTACCCTTGTGGTCTCAGTATATTGCCATTGGGTCTACATATTTTTTGAGATATCACCGGGTGCTGCGTTTATTCAGCAATTGAGATTCTGTGGAACTGGTTTTAAAGGGGTTCCTAATATATAAAAAAATAAAAGGTTCAGGTTTTATTTAGGATTCTTAAACTTTTTTTTATACAACATTGGATTAAGGACCAGTTCTAGTGAGTTAAAATTAATATTATTTTAAAAAAAATTTTTTTGTAGATATATATATATATATTAATTTAAACATTTATTCTTACATTATTATTATTTTAAATTTATCTAATTAATTTCAGATAAGTCGATTAAATGAAGTTAGTAATATATTCTACTTCAAAATAATTATCCGATTTTATGTTTTCAAGTTTAAAAAGGCTTTAAAGTTATATTTAGAAGTAACCAAATTTTCTCCTGGCGGCTAAAATGAGTCAAGCAATTCTTTAGATTTATTATTGACTAGGAAAATGTTGGATTACATTCACAAATTTTATTTTGGGGGTTATTATTTTTAGTCTTTGAAAAACAAATAAAACAATTCGTAGTCATAGATATTAAAAAATATTAAGACGCATTAGAAATTAAAAAGCCATACAAATTCAAAAAACATTAAGAAGCCATACAAATTCAAAAAATATTAAGAAGCCATAGAAATTCTAAAATATTAAGAAGCCATAGAAATTCAAAAAACATTAAGAAGCCATAGAAATTCAAACATATTATGAAGCCATAGAAATTGTAAAATAATAAGAAGCCATAAAAATTCTAAAATATTAAGAAGCCATAGTAATTAAAAAATATTAAGAAGCCATACAAATTCTAAAATATTAAGAAGCCATAGTAATTCAAACATATTATGAAGCCATAGAAATTGTAAAATAATAAGAAGCCATAAAAATTCTAAAATATTAAGAAGCCATAGAAATTCTAAAATATTAAGAAGCCATAGAAATTCAAACATATTATGAAGCCATAGAAATTCTAAAATAATAAGAAGCCATGGAAATTCAAAAACATTTAAAAGCAATAAATATTGAAAAATATTAATAAGCATGTGAACCATTTTTTACTCAAATGTTTGACATGTATCTTATCAAGCGACTATCAACCAGAGTTATTACGTTTTAAACTTTTTTTAAAATATTTAGTTATATAATTCTATTGCTAAAAGTAATATGTACTTTTTAATTTTTTATGAATTTCCCGAAAAAATTACAATACTAAATTATTAAATGTCTAATTCATACTACGTTAAATTGTTTTAAAAGATATTCATAAATTATTTTTATAAATCAACTACTAATTAGAAATAATGATAGAAATAGAAGTTAATTTGGCTTTTAGAATAATCAACCAATTTCATAACTATATATACTATCTATAGATTTGCATCACAGCGTTTTTTATGATAGTGATTTTAATTACTGTCAGATATCATCTATACTCAACCCAACTATAACACGTCCCTACTTTGCCGCAACTCCACTATGCTGGGTTTTTATGTCTGTCGTCACTCACCAAAACTTTAGATGCTTCATTCGTAGTATTCAATTAATCTTTAGTAATTCCTTTAGATATTCTATATCACAAAAATTATCTTGCACTTATTTTGTTAATCTTAAAAATACTTGCTTTATTCTCGGCTGTCTGGAGGTCATTATAGTTTTTGCAATTTTCTTTGTATTTATTGGTTACTTGATTAAGTACTTGAGTACATCGTTAATTTTATTATATTTAATTTTTTTTGAAAACCCTATTAAACATCTTTTTGAGCACNCTATACTGAACCCAACTATAACACGTCCCTACTGTGCCGCAACTCCACTATGCTGGGTTTTTATGTCTGTAGTCACTGACCAAAACTTTAGATGCTTCATTCGTAGTATTCAATTAATCTTTAGTAATTCCTTTAGATATTCTATATCACAAAAATTATCTTGCACTTATTTTGTTAATCTTAAAAATACTTGCTTTATTCTCGGCTGTCTGGAGGTCATTATAGTTTTTGCAATTTTCTTTGTATTTATTGGTTACTTGATTAAGTACTTGAGTACATCGTTAATTTTATTATATTTAATTTTTTTTGAAAACCCTATTAAACATCTTTTTGAGCACTCCAATGTTGTAAATATTAAATATATTTAATGATGTATATTTTTTGACAGTAACTCATTACATTTTTTATATGTCTGTTTTGTGTGTATCTATAATTCACATTGTGGTTGGAACTAGTCGTAAAACATTACTTAAATAAATAAATAAATTGGCATTATACGTAATAAAATATGAAATTTACGAAGAATATCCGTAAAATTGTAAGAATAATAAGATAAATTTTAAGATAACTTTGAAACTAATATTATATATTTAAAAATTAGTCCTTGATATCCAGCTTTAGTTTTAGTGGTAATAAAGAGGTAAAATGCCCCTCTCTATTCATTTTAATAGGAAAAATATTTGGTTTCATTTAATTACGTGTTATATTAATTCACCAATCGAGTAGTTTTTTCTATTTTCACCCTAGTCTTATAATGGTAGCAACTTTACTTTATTTTTCGTTTAACTGAGTTAAACATTTATATTACAGAATTAACCTCTGTAATATAAATTTTTATGAATAATTTCGATATTCCTCCCTTAAAATTACATATGTTATAAACTAACATTGCAAGATATATTTTTAAAAGTATAAATATTCTATAATTTAATTGCATTTATCTAATGAACTTAAAGAAATTAAGCGTTTTAAAAATAAATTTTAACATGAATGAATAAAATATACCCTGCAAGTAAGTGGATAATAGAAAATAACTTCTATAATTACACTTGTACTATCTACACGAATAACATTGAGCATTATTGGATAGTAACTAAAGTAATCCAGTAGATAGCTCTGAATATTACTTTGTCTTTGTTAATATACAAAATAAATAATGGAAGTAGAAGTTTTTAACAACTATGATTGATATTAATTTTAGTACAGTAATGAACTAAAATTCAAGTACTTTTTTCATTAGTCTGGTTGGTAAAACGTTAACTTTGTACAACGTATCAATTTTTTGAATTAAAAGAATGAATATTGAGTAGTAAAATCAGTAAACTTACATTTGTACAATAGATATTTATTTGACATAAACATAATGGTAATTAAACAACAGTTTACATTATTACAATAACAGTATTCAGTAAATTTTGTTGTATACATTTTTATTTATTTATTTAATATAACGATTTATATAATATAAAATATATACATAACATTTTCATAATTGTACAGTGTTTTTATTTATAATAATTTGATAAAAAATTAAGTAAATGTTTTGGGTATTAACTACTTTAATTTGTTGCACGTGCGATTTATTAAAGGGAACTCTTCAACAACAATTTTCTGTTTGTAGAGTCGTATAAATGGAACTTTTAGGAGTGAATATAAATAGCTTTGATGGGGATTAGAAAATGGTTTAAAGCAGATCAAAGCTCTCTCTATTCATCGCTCAAGTTATTATTCAATTGAAATTACGATGTTTGCACACCACAATACATTTAATTTGATAAATTTTGTGATTTAGAAAATGATTAGAGTACAAGTATTATAACAAGCATAATACATTATAAAATATGCATTATAATACAAGGTGATTCTTTCAACGTTAGCCAATCATATTCTTCTAAAATAACAAAAATTGTTTTAGTTTCATACACTTTTAGATAGATAAATCATTTTTAATTATATCCCTTATTCTATATAAAAGGGTGCAAACTTAATTTTTGTTAAACTGCAACATACATTTTTAATTAGTCTATAAAATTGATAATGACAGGTCGAAAACAACTCTTAACTCATTATTTCGGAAGTTATTATGTTTTTTAAATATAAATTGGGAATGAAGCGCAGGTTTGCACCCTTATAGTAATATGGGATAGATCTAATAATTGTTTTTTACTACACTATTTTTCAGTCTTATTAAATGAGTTAAGTATTATTTGTTTTAAATTAAGCTGGTTCCACTTGTAGATTATAAAATGCACAACAGAGTGTTTAATAAATTATAAATAAAAAAATTTACATGTTATGTTTCGCAGTATGTTTATGAATTTTATTTTATTTCAATGAATTGTGTATATTTATATTTAGAAGATATGTGTTTAAGAAATTTATCAAAATATTTTTTTTTCCATTCAGAGAAAAAAGCAAACAGTATTTGGTAGACTGGATTAATGTACTCACTGTTTTTATTTCTTAATGGTAATTTGATTTTTATAATAAAAAAAATGTATTAAAAAGTGATTTTAATGATACTGTTATATTATTTTAATAATAACATTATATTTTGGTAGATAAATAATATCACAGTATTTTTAATATATTTAATTTGTCATGATGTTGGTTAAATGTGATTTTAAAAAGTAATTTCAGATTTTATTTGAATTAAAAAATATCTTAAAATATTTTTCAAATATTTGTTTACAAAAAAATATGACGAAAATTTTACAATCCATAATTACAACTATCTATAAAAATTTGATTTTTGTATACGAGTAATTGATATTATTATTAGATAAACAAATAAATATGACGGTTTGGAATGACATTTTAAGGACAAGCCGTCTTGCAAATTGGTCAGACTCTCATCTCGCTCATTGCTGCCACAGGCATTTTTAGTGTGCCACTCTTAGGGATTTGATTTAAAGTTGCACCCTGTACAAGTAAAGGTTGCGATTCTTGTGACACCATTGACCGAGGCGGTGGTGGTGGCTTTGGCAAGGTATTAGCCATACCATGAACCGAACCGTTAGGTGGTCCTTGTTGGTCTATATGTATTACCCTACCACATGATTTGACTGCTTTTGGAAACGTCATGTCGTTCCCCCTAGTTGGCGGCACTATATTAGTCATATGGTGATGATGATGATGATGATGATGACCATGGTGCGGATGCTTCTGTTCCATTTCTAGCGCTATTGCATCCGGCGGAGAGTCCGGATGTCCACCTACCACGTCTTTTTTGTCTGCCATTTTATACTTTTTTTGCAAATCAACACTTCCAGGCTCGGTGGAGTCACCTTGTTGTTGCAAACACTTGAACTTATCTTTTTGGTAACAAATAATTATCAATAAAAGAGCATTAAGCAACAGAAGTGATACGCCTAATGCAATAGTCACGTGTAAGGCAGTGGAATAAGCCGCATAACCAGCTGCTTCTAACGTTGCTAACGCATCCTCGGTCGAAGAAGAATTAGAAGCACTTGTTCGAATAGGAGGTAGACACGTCGTACCTTCCGTAGGGTATTGAGGTCGCGTTGTAGTTGTCAGCGATTGTACAACTTCAGCTACAGTTCCGTTAGCTGTGAAACGATTCACAGTAACGTGCTGTAAAGGTCGTCTTGAAACAGGATCAGGCCTCACTATGCCATCGTATAGTTCAGGATCATCGTGATTCCGGAATAGATTATGTCTTAGAGCAACGTCTTCCATTCCAGCTCTATGTAATTCTGGGATAAGTCGCAACCAAACAGATAACTGATGCGCTCGAAAATGATTTTTCATTCTAGGCTTCATACCTAAAAAATTAAATAATTCATTTAATAGACTAAAATGTATTAATTTTCCGTTCTGTATAAAAAATTTGAAGTCAGTGTACAATACTTAAATTAAATTAAAATAAAGTAAACATCGTAATAGTATAAATATAATCAAGTCGTTTTTTGTATTTTATATTTAGGCAGGAAAAACTGTTTAAACCTTTTTTATATCGAGTATTTTTTCCACGCCAATCTTGTCACAATAGGGTTTTTACTAATTGTTTTCGCTCAAAAGAAAATCCCTTTCATTTTATTTTACAAACTTTAAACACAATGCAAAATATTTTATAAAATTGGTTTTTAATTATTCTTGAGTGTATTAAGGTGGTACTTAACATTTTTAAATAATATAAATTTATTATATTTGAGATATTAAATTAATTAGACAGTTAATTGTTTTAAATTTTTATTAAAATGTAATTAGAAACATGATAATGAAAATAGTAATATCGTTACTAAAATATTGCTAAAAATTTTCCGTCACGCCTTTTTAAGTACAACTACACAAAAACATTTTTAGTGAAAACTGGAAACTCATTTAGATGTAGGAAGTTTTCTTTGTTATGCGAATACATATATGAGACTATTAATATGATTTTATATACAAGATGTCCATAAAAAGTTATTTGAATCAGCACATTTAAAAATATATAAATAGTGATAAAACTTCTTCCTTGATGTATAAGAGAATTAAGTTTAGATTCGTTTGCAACTTAAGTAGAATAATTTCAATATAATGACTGTATAATTATTATATTAACATTTAAAGAAAATTACAAAAATACAGTGATAGTCCACGATGTTTTGACAAATCAAATGACTTTTGATCTAATCACTATATGGTGTAACTTTTTATTGTATTGTTATTTCGTAAAACGGTGGAAATATTATCAGAAACAATATTTTTAATTAATGTAAAAAAATAGTAAAATTGTCTTGTGTTTAAAGTAGATTTTAAGAAAAAATTCGGTAAAAAATATCTTATTAATGATGAGCAGTAAATTTTTTGTAGCATATTAAAGTTTGTGAAATTTGAATATTCAAGTATTTATTATACAGTATCAAACATTGAATTATTTATAAAAAAACATATTTTTTTTTTTTTAAATATTAAAGTTATAAGTGTGTAACTTATTCCATACAAATTCGATAACAAATTTCAACCTACACTAATGTGGAAATATGTTTTATTTCTATTATTTTCTTATTTTGATAGACTAATTTTTGATACCATAAAATAAATATTCATATTTTTACAAAATTAAAAATTATATAAAAATTTAATTACAAACATTAAAAAATGATTTTCTTTTATATTTTTCCTAAAAATTTATTTAAAATATTTTTCACAAAATAAAAAAAACCTATTTTTAATGAACATACAGATTTAAAATGGTAACACAAAATATTTAGTACATTAAAAGTAATTAAAAATGTGAAAACATGGCAGACCAACCAATATAGAATCTATTTCTTGTAAAAAAAAAAATAATAAAACATAAGTTTTAATTTGCTGATTTTAGTCACAATTTACAGTAGGTTAAAAATGTTAAAAAAAAAAATTATCTAACTTTCATACGTGAAAATAATGAATGCATATAATAATTGATACCTCAGAATAGTAAAAAAATACAAAAATCGTTCAACTCTGTCATTATAAAATAGCAATTAAAAAAGGTAAACAAACAAAAATTATTTTTTAGTAATTGCATTTATTAGGTGAATAGAAATATATTTTTAATATACATACATTGAATAATAAAAAAATATACGTATATCATTTTTTTTTAGAATCCATAAAAATTTATTACATTAAACGACAATAGTGTTTTTTACCTCATCAGTAAATAAAGAAATGTTTGATGTATCGGAGAACCGTATTTAGTTTAATAATTTAGAGTACATGCTATTGTGCTTTAAAATCTATTTAGGTTTGCTTTTAAAGATATTTTAAAAGATAGATGTATGAAAAAATGTGCGTTGGAAAAAATATTCTCGTTTCTCATCTAAGTATTTATTTTTGTAATAAACTAATTTTGATTTTTGGAATGGTTTTATTAAAAAATGCTTTATAAAATCATGATATTTCAATTATGTTACTGAAAAAGAAGTAATTATTAAATTAAAAAAAATACTATTTCGACTCACTTATTTCTAAATACTTTTGATGAACTGGATCATATTCATCCCACGTGACGCTTCTAAATCTGTTTCTTTCTTTGGATCCAGAATCGGGTTTATCATCATGATCGTTAGGATCTCTATAAAACAAAAACAAAAAAAAAATACAATTTTAAATATAACCATGCAAGAAAAACGAATGTCAAAAAGCAAATTTATTTTCAAAAGACATTATTCCATTCAAAAAGCCCATTTGTTTTACTGGCAACGGAAAAGGATACTTTCTTGTTGTGCATTTATTTTTAGCTTACAATGGAAAAAACAGTAACCTTTTAAATATTTTCTATTTTCTAGTCTAAAACTTTATTTCAATACTATTTGTTAATTATTTTTAAAAATTGTAGTTTTGTCAGTGTATTTAAGTACACGGAAATGGAAATCACCGAAATGAATCAATGGTAAACTATTCAAAAATATAATATATATTCATATATAGTGTTCAATAGATAAGGAAACGAGTTTTTATTGTTCTCATTGTGTGTAACAAGTATCCTGTTTCTTTACTATATGGACACTCTGTATATATTTAAATTTGTGTATATTCTAATTATATATATATATATATAAACCAACTTATTGCTCTAATTTACTTTATTATTTAACTTGTATTTATAAAAATAAACTGATTGAATGAAAATAAAATAAATTACTGATTGAATGTTTAGACAAGGAAAATATCAGTTTAAATTCATCAAAATAAAATTACTACTTTGTTGGAAAAAACATGCTTAATTATAATTAAATTGATGAAATTTCAATGTAATTCATCAAAATACAACGTCATTAAAATTACCAGTTATTCTTTAACTTTAATTCATAGATGCGATTCTTTATGAGAGGTTCATGTTTAAACATATATTATTTAACATACAATTATAGGTTTTTCAATTGATTCAACTGTTAACAAGTATTTTTTTCTTAAAATGTAAAAAATCATATTATTGCAAGAAAGTTAAAGTCACGATAATAAAAATTTACATTTTGAACAACATCGTATCATGAGATTTAATTATTTTTGGCTTAAACGAATTCAAACAAAAGTTTAGTATTCTTTGGAAACTAAAAATATTTTCAATAATTTTTAAGTTAAATATAAACAGTGTAAGTCTACAATCGAAAGTTCCTTAGAAAAAAAAAATAACCAGTTATTTCATCTGTTTTTTTAATAAAACAAAATTCAAACATAAGAGAAAAATAATAATTTTATATTATAATTGGTGTTTAAACTCAGAAAATAATGAAACATGATTAATTGACATATAGAAAAATGTATAATTAAAACAATTTTTTTTGGAAATGTTAATTGAAAAATGTCGTTTTAAATTAAATTTTACAAAGTATATAGATAGTAATGCTTTTAAATGGATAAAATGGGAATTGTAGATGAAAAGCGTTTCCTAGGGCTGTTCATTGAGTCCATCATATCGCTGTCATGTTCTAGAACTGAGAGAAAAGCGTTACGATCACATTATACTGTAACGACGGTTTTCTCAGAGAGCCAAAGAGACCTGCGGTCTGTCACGTTTTCATTTCAAAAGAACATAATTTCAAACGACGGCAGCCATTAATCAAAAGCACGCTTTTCCGCAATCATTTTTAGGGTACCTCGTAAAGTTGTACATACGCGCATAAATAAAAAGGCTGGTTAAATTTCATCAAGTGCTCGGATGTGTAATAATTGTATGCAAAGCTTTTCTATTTTCATGGCTAAAATTACTGGCGCCTGCAGCCGTAATGTAAAAGTCAGCATCGGTAATCGCTGCTATGAGAAAACAAACGGCAGTAACTGGGTATCTTTCCTCGGCAATGTAATTAACAGCCGGCAATATTTTGCAAGTTTCAATTTAAACGGATTATTGGTACAGTACTATATCATAACAATTCAAACACAAACATTTATTCCACAACATTACACAAATGCGTTGATCTTATGTGTTATGTTGCAACTAATTACGCTTCTTTGACGAAAACAACAAGTGAATCATAACATTTTATTGTGTGTAAAATCGACCAATCGTTTTTTTTTTATAGACATTAAACTAAAAACTTCATGTTTTTTTTTTTTGAAGTTTTCAATCGTTTAAAAATTACAAGCGAATTAAATAAACAACATGTCCATAATATTAAAATTATTCATGTCATTTTTTAAGCGCTAATTATATGGAAAATATACACTTCTTTGTGAAATAATAGATAATATAATAATCTCATATTTTATTTTGGAAATTGTAAAGCGCTTACTTAAAATAGTAATTTTATCGCCTGGACTAAAATGTGCATGCTAAGTATAATCCACCCTTTAATAAAACCGTCAACATCGTAAACCCAATTTGATAATTAGTAGAGTTTTATCTCATTTTATTTGACCCGACATTAATAAAGGTTTATCTTTTCGTTATCTTTTATCTTATTTTACTATAATTCTTTTCGGTGTATTTGGTTTTCCTTGAGTGCTAGGGTGAACATAATAGTGTAATCTATATACTGCAAGGATAAGAGGTTTTTTTATTAAATGTGATTCGGAGGCTGTGTATAGCGTTGTAAATGGTAGTCACTTTTAACTAACGACCAGAATTACTGCTTTTTATATTAGGCCTAAACAGGATTTTTAACAACGCAACAATCTATCTCGGAATACTTATGATTTCTACCATTTTTTTTTGAAAATTGATCAGAGTAAGACAGCAGTGTTAGAAAATTCGGTAGATATGGCGTAAAAAAAATACTACATATTTACGACATGTAGATAATAAAAGTTATGTTCCCATAATAAATATATATCTTGAATATGCTTTTTTTATTGTTCTGATTTATTTGTATTATTTTTACAATTTTTTTTATATTTAAGTAATTTTTATTTTATTATCACAAAGTTATTTGTTTAATTCTTTAATGTTCATATAAATACATACAGCCTCAGTAGTAAAATGGATGAAAATGGCCACGTATAAAGTAATGTAAATGACAATGAAATAAAAAAGAAACTTTATTCGATTTTATATACTATTGACTTATAATTAAATTATTCATAGTACAATAAAAACTGGTAACTCGATATTCTTGACTAAATTTAAATTATTTCAGGACAATTGCATAAAAAATTAAACATAGTTATAGCTAAGTAAAACATTAGACATTATATAATATTTATCATGTTCTAAAAAAGAGATAATAAAAAAATAAATTGGAGGATAATAGACAGTATATCAAGTTTTATATAGTTTCATGCAATACAAAAATTATTAAGGAAATATCGATCAAAATACTTAACATTTTTCCTTTTGAAGGCCGTTGTAAATAAACTTTTGACTACAAATGTTCATAAAACGAGATTCTATATTTTTGCTATTAACAGTATTTAAATTATCATAAATCATTAATTCATTTAATATTTTTTAAATGAAACGTTATCACATTTAAGTTTATTTACTTACTTCCCCTATTGCAATTTATACATATTTATGAACTTTCTAAGTATTATTTTCTTAACTAAATCATTTCTGATAATTCTTAATGGAAACTTTCCAAACTCTTTTATTCAGTATTTTTTTTGTAAGATTTTCATTTTTTTTATTTCAAAAGGGAGCAGATATCTTTGAATACAAATATGATTAGTGAGTTCTTATTCAGAATAAATGGCAAAAATAATAATAGTCTCCAAACCCTTACAATTTTACATAACCTGAATGTTATCTTGAATGTTTTATGTAGTTTTCTAATACCATACTTTCCAATAGAAAATATTTATTGACTTTATCATAGATTTTCTATGAATTAAATTTTAATGACCCACACAGTCATACTTATACAAATAATTGTTGAATAAATTTTAAATTTGATAAAATTAAGAGGTCTTTAAAATTTACCATTTAATAAATAAATAAATATTTAAGTTTGATTAATTCATATAACATAAACCACTCAATTTCTCACAAAATAAATACAAAAAATAAGTTCTTGTCCAGTTACACATATTTCTTGATTTATTAGCTATTAATAGCTTATAAATAAATCATAAACATTTTTCGATCTATAATTCAATATATTATAGTTATTTTATTAATGAAGAACATCAAATTTGAATTTATCTATTTTCCTAGCGGTCATAGTGTAATTTCTAGGAATTCTCATTTTATTAGTAGTTCACTGCGTGTACATTGACACATGGGACACAAAAATATAGGTATATTGGTTATAAAATATGTTTAAATATTGCCATCACCTGAGTCCTGCACTTACCATATCCATGCCGTTTTTCATGTACTGTACTTGGTACCGTCGATTTTACTTCGTAAAATCTCGAGAATAAACAATGAAAGTAAAGCTGATACGTTTTCCCTTCAAAGTGAGCCATAAATTGTCGGTATATGAGTGATGGCTAAAGGGATGGGCAAAATGCAAATTAATATAAGAGTCGATTGTGTACATGANTGGTAGATGGCTAAAGGGATGGGCAAAATGCAAATTAATATAAGAGTCGATTGTGTACATGAAGGTACATCAGCTGTCGGTTAAAAAATGCTATTTATGCGAAACGGAAAGAATGAAGCGTGCTTATAGGTTAAGCATATAAATTATACGAGAGCACTAAACATCAATACAAAATATGACTTGGCAACGTTTGGCAGAGTTTTTGTTCTTCTATTTTTTACCCAACAAAAGTAAATAGCTTGAAATTTTTTAACAAAGCCGTTTCATGGCGACACATGGCAATAAAAAATGTGTGCCCGCATAGTTGAAATATTTCTTTTGAGTTTGTTGATATATATCCGTTACAAAGATTTTTACTTATTTTACAACGAAACTAACGATTTACAAAAATTGCGAATCTAAATATCAATAATAATCTTGAACATTTTACAGTTATATAGCTGTACAGGTCGAATAAAATGCAATCGTGTGGATTGGTTGGGTTAAATGTTAATTAATATATGTTATTCGCTGATTTCATATAACATTGATAACTAAAATTGATATTTTTTTAATGAAGTATTATATAAGTATACGATTTTATGCCTATTCCGTTTAACAAGTTAGATAAGACTAATGGCTGTCTTGGATTTATAATTTTTGTTCATTTTTCAAAATTATCAGACATGAATATTAAAAATGTACAATACATATAAGTAATAAATGTATTACTTCTATGGGATTTTTCATTTCTCAGTACATTTTAGACGAAATCTTTGGTATAGTTTTTAGTTTTGTAATACTCTTGTGAAATTATAAATTATAGCTGAACATTGAGCTTAACGTAATATTTCTTGATCATATTACAGACGTCTTGTTAACGTTGCTCATTACCAATATTATTATGACTCCGGTCGTGTTACATGGTACTGGATTATACATTTAATTTTCTACAATTCAAAATTGCTTCTCTCCTTTCTTTAACGTGAATTATTGAAATGTCTTATGATAGTGATTTAATGGTTATAATTTCATTTTAAACGTGTTACAGGATAAACGAACAGTTGACATGAGTTCCGATTGAAAATAAATTTCTATTAATTGGAAATAAAATTTTAATAATTTCGAGAGGTACAATTTCTTGTTTTAAGTTCTATAAACAATCGATATTATGAAAAACAATGATATAATAATGAATTTCACTTAGTCACTCTTCAATCAGAAGCTAAATNTAATGATATAATAATGAATTTCACTCAGTCACTCTTCAATCAGAAGCTAAATGGTATTTGGATTAATTTATTTTCTCATCGTTCTAGAATATTCGAGTACATCTCAGTAAACATGTGTCACTGTGACGTTTTAAGTATGTTAAACATTNTAAACATGTGTCACTGTGATGTTTTAAGTATGTTAAACATTTTTAACAGCCCCTTAACCATATTTTGAGACAATTAAACACAATAAATAATTTTGACAATTTTCAAATATTTATTACCGAGTCCAACTTTAAAGTCAGTTTTCTCTTTTTTAGTATATTATTAAATTGTACTTTAAATTTTAATATTGTATAAAAAATAAAAGTGTTTTTTTTTTATTATACAAATAATATTAATTCAGCAATATTCCGAGGAAATGTTCATATTGTCAAAGTAATGATGTACATAGAACTTTATGGGTCAACTGTATACTTAGGACAGAGAATAACTTACCCTGTTCTTGCGAAGTTACCCAAATAGACGACCATTGCGTCCGATAAAGCTGCTTCTGCTTTTGTATAGTTCTTAGTAAAATGGTTCATGTTGTCGGTTACCATAGGAGCGCCAAATACGTAAGGTAATTCCTCGCCATGGGCTGTCCCCATTCTCTATAAAAAATGAAGTTATTTTAGTTAATTTCAAATAGATAGGCAAAGTTCTGGTAGTATTTGGTGATAAATGTCATTGCCCAAAGGTATTGAGTATTTTTGGCTATATTGTCTATGACATAAAAATATTTACAAAGAAATGACTGTCATTTGATGCAACAACAGCAATTCATCATTGTTTTAATTTTACCTCATTTTCTCACAGCTTCTTTTCTGTTTAGTAATGTGAAATTATCACTGTGGCTATATGAGGAGTACGTGTTGCGCGGTTTTACTAAATGATTTTTAAATAATAGTTATAGTCGTAGGTACAATGTATAATTCAATGACGAAAGTCGATTCGGCATTTTGTTACCACTGTACCATTTAAAACACAATAATTAACTCAGACGTGTTTTTGTCACTGACAATTCGAAATTAGCTGTAAAAGCCCTTTTTAAACGCAGCGCGGAAGCGGCCATTTGGAAATTTTGCTAAGGGTACATGACGTATTAAATTATCTAGTACGCGTGATTAGCATAACGCAGAGGTTTTATATGTGCAGAACACTTTGATGCTTGACGTTTTTAATACCTATTAAACAAACAGTAGGTGTGTTACCTGCACTTGAATTATTACGGTGTTTAATTCGAAACACCGGCGCTGCTGTCGGATTCGGTGCTGATTTTAGCACTTTCGTGTGCAATGTCCGTGTACAATTATTTAAAACCCACAAAAACATTGTTTATATTATTTGGGGGTTTTAGAGGAGTTTTATTAATTTTGCTCGGAACGGCTACGACGCATCAGAAATGTTTGTGTGACACTTTATATTTTCAAAAATTCCATTCTTCGTTTAAAACATTTTTTATGTTATGTCTAAATTAGTGACCATTTATAAGTCTGACAGTTTCTTAAACAGTTATTTATGACTCCGCCGTATAATTTTATGCCCCCCTTTGCATTAATGTTTTACTTTTTTTATTCTTATTCTATGGTTAAATATTTATGTTGTTATTGTTAGAGTATACGTGCTCAGAGAAATGAAGACGGAATAAATGGATTTTGCAAAAATCATAGTGTGTAATTTCCCGCAGAATTAATTATACAAAGAACATTAATGTTTCGACTTTTTAGGAGGATTAATAAACCTACATTTTAAAATAATGGCCAATAAAAAGCGTACTCTTAACACAAAATACCAGAAGAATATACTTAAGAATTTTAATCAATAATAATATGCCTAAATTTAAAATCATTTTCTGGTTGTATATCCATTATTATTTTATAACGTCTAAAGGTATTAAAAGTTTAATCAGTAAAAAAAACAAAATTATAATGAATGATGATTTTAAAGTTACAATTTAATTATTACTATTCTCCTGTTAATAATTACATAATATTCTATTTTTAAACATAGTACAATATAAATTTATTTTATCTAAAATTATATACATAGGTTTTATCAAACATCTAATAAATTATAATATCAGGGCCAAAATTTGAGTAGCGTTTGAAAAGTTAATGAAATTAGATAAAAATCTAAAATGAGCTATTTCTCTGCAAGCATCTAAATGTTTGCCATAAGTTATTTTCTTATCACGTTTTTCTCTTTCTAGTTTTTTACGATTGTATAAATGTCATTACCTTTTTTACCGTGTCTTTGAATTCACCTCTAAGCTTTATTTAACCAGTAAAATCGTTTACGTTGATGACTTTAGAGCTATATAGATATTTTAACGAAAATACTAAACACAACATAACAGTTGATGTAGCAAAACCTTTTACTTAAAACTTAAACGATTTCAAAAAATATATTATGTAATATTTACTAACTATAAGTAAACATAATTGTTCTTTGCAAGCAAAATACTAGTTATCGTTTGTGCATTCAATCTTAAAAAAACTAATTTCAGAACTATTTTTTTGTAAAGTATTTTGCAGACTTAATTTACATGATTATTTTACATTTAGTGTATAAACCTAACAGTTCCCTAACTTTTTTTGTTCTGTTTTAGAACATTTACTTAAATTTAGCTAATTTTCAAATTTTAGAGTAATATAAAACAAAAAGTAGTAAAAATATTCTTTGGTTTTTAGAAAGAGTTGAATTAATTTTACGACTTCGGATGGGCTTTTTATGATTTTATGGTACTTGTTTTCACTATATTATAACCCAGGAGACGAATATGTGGTAATAAAACTTGTAAGAGTATTTTGTATTTTTTGGTTTATTTACACCGCAAAATGAAATTAGCAGATATACTGTATATGTAAGTAAACTTAGTTACTTATAAGTGTAATTAGTACATTTTGACAAATTATCTGTTTCTTTAATTAAACACTGGAGTATAATTTTTTTTTATATAATAATTTGAATAATATATATATATACTAGCTGTCCCGGCAAACGTTGTTTTGCCGTTTAAATTGTTTTATACATAAATAGCNTTATTACTGATCATTAATTGTTATTCAGACTTTTCACATCATAAAATATTATCTAAAATCAAAAATTAAAATGGGGTGTGGAAATTATAGCACTTTAAATGAATGTTGACATGTTCAACACATCATTATGGTGGTGGTTTATTTGGTTTTAAACTAGAAATGTACTAGAAAAAAGCATTTTCTAAATTATGGTCCTATGAAATACATTTTTATTATTAATCTATTGCTACTAAAAATCTGTAATTATTTTTCATAAATATAATGAATTTTATCGAATTAGTAAATGTATTATTAACTTACTTGAGGAAAATCGCCGTCCCTGGTTTGATAATCAAACACATAAAAAAACGATTTGGTTTTTCTTTTTTTTGGATCATTGTTTGTTGGCTTAGATTGGCTCAACAAATCACCAGTGTGTACCAGCGGTGCAACATATTGAGCGTCACTTAAAGCTGCAATGGTAGCATCTCTTGTGTTGATAGGATGAAGAACTGTCCGTTCCCAGTCTGTATACTCATTTACAATAGTAAAGAATATTTCGGATAAATGGTAACTATAAGCATTTCTGACGTACGTGCGTAGTATTTTGTCTCGGCGTTCTCCCTCAAAACCAGCCTGAAAAAAACATTTTTCAAGTTTCTTATAAGTTAATCCCAGAAGACCCGATGGTAGAAAAGTGGTGATGAACGTGACCAAAAAGCGTGGGTAGGTACACATTAAAGAAAAGTTAGTTATTTCAAAATAGTAAGGAAAAATGTAATACAATAAACTTATTTTTTATGTTTGGGATGTGTTTTAATATATTGACATTTATTTTATATATTTGATTCTTGAAGCAATATTTAATCGTACTAAATCGCACTGTTTAAGTAAAGAGCTTATCATGTAGATAAAAATTCATTAAGTTGGAAAAATATCATAAAATTAAAAAAAAAACCGATTCGAAATAAATTTTCTCAATAAGTTTTAAAAAAATAATTTTGACATCTCCTAAATTACACAATTGTGGAATAAACCCTCTTTGCTCAATAACTACAGAAGTATTACTTAATAAGTGTCTATTTTTTCCAACTAGCACAAATTCAATGTTTGTATTGAGGTGCCTAATGATAATTCCAAATTTTTATTAAAAATTTTAAAATTGTCTTATTTTAATATTTTTTCTATCACATAGAAGACACAACAAAAATCACATTATAGTAAAATTAACACTTTCGTAGCTTCGTATCGAAGCTAAAATAGGATTTTAACGTAAAAATACAAAAATTGTTAAAAAAAAAAGTTATAATGTCTTAATTTTTTTATTAAAAGTTATAGGATTTGTTATAGGATTTTCGTGACTCATTATGTATATACAAAGTGATTTTTTTAACACTAACAACTCGTTTTATCTAGAAATAATTAATGATATAATTAAGAAAAAAACTGGTTTATAGCAACTTTACTTTTTCAGAAGTTATTATCATTTTAAAATATAGACAAGAAATTTTTGACCTCACTCCTCCTGCTTATATATAAATATACTAATAACATCTGAAATACTGGGCCAAAATTAACCAGTCATTTTTTTAAATTATATTATTTGATTTTGGTTAAATTAATAATTTGGTATAAGGAATTTAAAAAGTAATTGATGTCTGATAAATCAAGAAATATATGAAACTAAAATATACCAAAAATAATTTTCTTAACAAAGTTGTTAAGAGAAATCGAGTGACTAGCATTGAAAGAATCATTCTGTATATAGCAAGTAAATTTTAAAATTAATTAAATAAATATGACACGTTTCACAAGAAACTTGTCATACCACGACAAGTAATCTAATTAGTATGAGAATAAAAAGACTCAAAGTTATCATAAAGTAAAAGTGATACAATGAGAAGTAATGTTGTCACAATTTTAAGTAAAATAATTTTAACTGAAAACTATCTAACCATAGTTGGTAATTTAACGAACTGAAATACTTTTATCAGCTTTCAAATATGTATTTTAATTTTTAAATACATATTTTTGAATTATTCAATTTGCATTTTACATAATAAAGTGTACTCAATCCATTAAGTTAAAAGTAAATGATAAATTAGTTTGTTGATTAAATATTATAGTATCGATTTTTTAATCATATTTTTTTACAAATATTGAATACTTTATTTAATTATATGAAATTTAAAAAGTTTCCGATTGAAATAAAAGATAAGAAAAATGCTCACTTTATTTGTTTACCGAGAAATAATAATAAATAAATTAATAGTGTTATTTAGTTGTTAGTATTTTAGTAAAACGTCTTTAAATGTTATTTTTAAATATTTTAATAAAAAAATTTCCCCAGGAAGGTTGTTTGAATAACTAAGTTCATATAGGTTATCGTATAAAAAATTGACTTCTATCTTTTTATAAATCATGTTATAGTTAATCTACAGTATTATCATTATCTTATTCATAGTTGATATTTTTATTGTAAATATTTTACCTGGATATCATTTGAACTGAACCTCCAAAGTGCTTCACTAGTAACAACTCCAAACAACAAATCATACTTGTTTAATGCATTTTCAAAATCAAATTTTTGAAATCTAGCACCAAAGGGCACGCTAGATTTGCTATATCCATCAAATTCGGGCAGTAGATTAGTAATAACATTTTCTTGATAGTTGCTTTTGATGACTACTCCATCAACACTAGGTCCAAACGCACTAAGATAAGTTGGTAAGGCTATAGCTGCTGACATGAGCTGATCTAAAGAAATATCCCGCAAACAGTCGACAATCGGTTCAGGATTATTGTCAGACCCATCAAAGGAACAATTTACTTGTTTGGCTAGTTGAGTGGCGTACGATACAGGATCTTCAACTAAAGCCCAACTGCTTAAAGCAGAACCAGACAACAAAATAGCTCGGTGAAATAAACCTGAAAAATAAATTTAAAGTTCAGATAAAATGAATTTATTGCAAGTATATAAACTTAAACAACAATAGAAAAATTGAACTTATTTATTAGTAGACATTAATAGACATCTGTAATAATAATTTATTATATTCAGTTATTTTTTCGGCAAAATAGTTGAATTCAAGAATAAATTATTTCTATTTAAATTATGCTAATTTCAATTATACAAAAATTAATGTTGTGAATAAATTCTCTCAAAATTCTATGATAATGAAAAAACGTCTGAAAAATATAAAAATAAATTTGTTGGTACTGTAAAAACATAAAAAAAAAATTATTAGATACAACAGTTATTTAAGTTTATGATTAAAATATTTTAGCTTTGACGTGTAACTGAGGAGCTATTAATTTTACTCTGTCGTTATTTTTTTGTGTGTCGATAATAATGAAAATTGATAAATTTCTTTAAATTACAAAGATGTGTGTTCAAACAGCTCTGTACTTTACTATGACAACTTTTTGGCATCAAATTGTAACTTTTAATGACCTAAGTCCCACTGTGCGATTTCTAAATTCGAAAATCATGTAATTTTTGGAAGATACGATACTTTAATTTTTTAATTGCTCTAACTGTTTGAATAATGGATGGACCAAATTATTATGTATGACCACACTGTCCCTCTTAGGACGGTGTAGTCGAGTCGGTAACGCGGTAGTGCTTGACGCTCACTACCTTAGGTTTGAAACTCGGTCACGGGTGGCTTCATTTGCTGAGCAAAAGATCAGTTCGGTAATTGGAGTCGCCATCCTACTCTGCGGCAACGGACTAACCAACCATTCGTGAGTACCAATGGTTGAGAAAATTTCCCCCTTGGGTAAAGTTGCTCTAGGCCTTTAATAGGCCTGGAAAAAGCATTAAAACAATGGACGAAATTAAAAATTTTAGAGATAATATTAAAGAATAATTATTGATAATAGCACTGTGTAGCTTAAACATCAAATAAAATTGTTTTTATTCAAATTTTTTTTTTTTTGTTGAAGCTAATACAATGAACTCTTAGGCCAAAAAATATAAAACATTCTTAAAGAATCTAGTTTCTTCAAAATGACATAACAATAACAATTGACATCCAAAAATTTGATTTCTCATATAAATAAATAGTTAAAGTGATAAGATAAGCCAAATGAATAACCACTTTTTTTAATATTTTTAATTGTTATGGAAAAATAAAAAAAAATTGAAGTTTGCATTTGAGTACCGACAAAACACAGAAGCTTAATCAGGTACTAAATCATACATGAAAACATAGCCCAGTTATAAAACTGAAAATTAAAAATTGTATAAAGAGTATGTCGCGCAGTATTTAAGCTGTATTGGCTGCTAAATGTGGTCATACAAAATATTAATTCTAACAAAAATTATACCACAGAAAAACTATAAAAACTATAAAGAAAAATTACTTTTGTATATGTTACTATTTTTTTAACAATATGTGATATATTAATAATGTTCTATGAGTATTTAAAATAAAAAAGTTATTTAATTATCTACTATCTAAATAAAAATTGGAAAATATTAATTTTTGTGTTTGGGTCTAATAATATGACTGGGTACAGTAGTCATATTTTTGATTCCTATTTATAAACAGAATGCTCAATCTAAATAACGAAGTTTATTTATACCCTTTAAACTCGTGGCCTATAATACTACTTAAGATAAAATACAGATCACTTTATAGTTTACTGTATTTTATACTTGCAAATAGCTCGTAAATATTTTGAAGTTAAGTGATTTCAAAAATTGTTTAGCGATTTATGATAACAATTCTGTATAAAAAGCTAATAAACTTTAACTATAAAATACAGAACTGGGGAAGAATATTTGTAAAAATCATAGGTTAATCAATATTTATTTATTTAGAATATTAGATAAACGTTTTTAAACATCTTTATTTTATCTTGATAGATAATTTTCATAAATAAATTTTGTACTTTTACTTTTTTTGGTATTAACTTTTTGAAATGTAATCGTTTTTGTTGATTTAAATATATTTTTATATAATTATGTAATATATAATTGTAATACAATATAATTCACAATGTAAACTTTTTATAAACATTATTTATAAAAAGTTTATTTGTATATGCTTATATATGATCGGTTTAATAGAACCACTCGATTACTCTCAAAATAATTACATTATTGGAATAATAATTTTTGAGATATTTTAGTTACATATAATTCTTAATTTATCAACTAATAATTATTATTGAGAATCATACCTTATAACATAAAGGGGTGATAACTTTATTTTTTAAATAGCAATATACATATTTAATTAACTTATTAAATAGATAACTAACTTATTAAAAAATGACTGGCCGATAATAATATTTGGACCCGTAATTCGGAAGTTATGAACAATTTAAAGTAATGACTGAAAGAAATGACTTGTGATAAAAATAGGAACACTCATTTTTAACACTAGTTATTTCCTGGCCATACTCTTCGTCCCGCTTAGGTATAAAAATGAGAACAACTTCCCAAGTGCTGGTTAAAAAGTTATTATCGACCAGTCATTTTTTAAATTAAATTATTTTCTATTTTATAAGCTAGTTAAATATGTATGTTGCCATTTGAAAAAATAAAGTTAATACTCCTTTATGTTATAAGAGATAATTCTAAAAAGTTATTATTACCTGATAGATCAAAAAATATTTGCATCAAAAAGAAATCAAAAGAATTTTTTTTCAAATATTGTGTTTATTTTGTGAGTAATCGAATAATTTTTGATAAACCGATCACCCTGTAGTTAAATGGGTTATTTGGAAACAGGAACCCGTGCAAAAATTCCAATTTTCCAAGAAAGTTAAAACACTAATTTTGCAAATAACTACAAATAATAAAATGCGAAAAATCATTCTATCATTATAATGATAGAATTTGAAATTATATTTAAAAATTTAATATTTAATAAAATATTTTCCGAAAAAATGTTATTTAATTTTTTTAATTTGCTTGACATAAAATAGGGAACACTGAATGAAAAATAAAGAATTTGGAGAATTCCCGTTATATTATATATTATAATTTCCTATACAGTGTGATCGAAATCTGGTAAGACACTTTTTTTCTCAGAAACTATTGAGAATTTAAAATTTTTGTAAAAAGAAAAATTATTAAGTTTATAAAACTACAATAATATGAAGTTAAATAAATTTTATTTTTATCCCTTCAGGGATAAAAATGTTTATTTATAATTTTTTTAATTGGGAACCACTATTTTTGATTTGATAATATGTTAGAAAAAAAAATTACAAACACTTTTGTTCTTATAATGTTCTTATTTATCCGAGCAACCATTTACGTTTTATAATTGTTTAAAGATTTTGACTTCCAGAAAAAATATTGTCATTTATTACGTTTTATAATATCGGTGGCAGTGCAACCGGTAATTTTGTTAGAACCTTTAGTCTTACAAAACCATAGACTTAGCTATTAATAATACCCCGAAAACCCGGTTTGAATCTATTATTGTTATCACTCATTTAGTGCGTTGTAAATTTTTATAGTTGATTTACCTGTCATAACTTGATCAATAAAATTTGGTTTATGCAACAGCAAATAAAAATAATGACTTCTGTATTTAATACAGTAAAATGACAATAGAAATTTGGTCTAAAATCACTTAGCTTTAACAAACTGTAACGGACGAACGGTTTATCGGACAAAAAAAATTATAAGAACAAAATTGTTTGTAATTTTTTTTTCTATCATATTATAAAGTTAAAAATAAGGGTTTCCATTTAAAAAAATTATAAACAAGGGTTTTTATCATTGAAGGGACGAAAAAAAATAATGGTTTGACTATATATTATTGTAGAGTTTTTTGAACTTGATATTTTTTCTCTATAATAAAATTTAAAATTCTCAATATTTTCTGAGAAAATGAGTGTCTTACCAGATTTCAATCACTCTGTATATTTCAATGGACATTTAACATATAAAATGCCCGGTTTTTCTCCTATGACGGTTAATGATGGTCAATATGCATTTTTTTTTTTTAATTTCCTGATATGATGTTAAATAAATAAATTAATTAAAAAGTTATTGAACTATAAAATGCTTATTTTAAAATATTTGAATAAATATAGCTTTCGAAATATATAAATTACTGATTAGCTACTCAGCACTCTCTAAGTCGCCCCTATTGTATGTTGATTCGCTGAATATCATTCATAAAAACAACAACAAAATAAAAATGAAAAAAATAAGAGAAATAAAAAAGTTGTGAGTAAGTGTACATATAAATAACATATTCCAGTAAAAACCTTTAAATGTAAGATGTTGAACATATTCTCTTTTCCAAATGACACATTCAATTTATAACTTAACTAAAATCGAATTACCTGTAACGACGGTAGGAGATATCATCAGAAAGTTTATACAAGCAGCACCAGGTCCGTGGCCCATTAATGAAACATTTTCTGGATCACCTCCAAAAAGAGCAATATTCTGTTGCACCCAATGTAGTGCTGCTATTTGGTCCATTAAACCATAGTTAGATACACGACCTCTCAAATTAGGAGACCCATTAGCGTTTAAAAACCCTAGAAAATTTAAGTTAGAGATATAAGTGATTGTGAGTTTTTATTGAATATTTATCTAATTTTTCAAATGAAATATCAAATGAGAATTGTATATTTTAATTAATATTTTTTACGTAAAAATATATGTAGACTTAAAAAATTTATTATAAAGCTATAAATGGACAGTTTCACTTTTTGTTTCTATTAGTTACATGTTTTTTTTATAATTTATCAAGCGTAAAGCATTTTTCATATCCGTCCCTTATAAATTAAAGACGGTAAAATGTAATTTATTAAATATCAACTTACAAATTTAACCATATTATTTATTAAATAATGTTCTGATTGGATAATTTTCTTAATTAATGAAGAAAATGATTGGTTAATACAAATTGTTCAACTAATATTTCAGAAGTTATCAAAATTTTTATATCCAGGCTGGAGAAGAAGTGCGGCCTAAAAATATTTAGTAATAAAAATAACAAAACTCACGCCTTGTTTCTAGCCATTATTTTAAATTTTGAATAGCTTTCAAAATATTAGTACAATTGTTGTTATCCAATAGTAATTTATTTTTACAATATCATTTTCAGTGTTGGAAAAATGAAGATTATTATCTAGATTATTTTTATCTAGATAAAAATAATATTATCTTTTATCTTAGCTAGATGACTTTACAAATGGTTATCTAAACCACATTCAAAATTATTATTTATATAACAAATATCTAAATAATTGATTTATTTACGATTAAAGAGATGCTAAGCAATACTTAGAATTTAATAATATTTTTTAAAATTATTACATCATGTATCCTACATTTTTATAACATAATATGATAAATCTATAAGCTATATAGCTTATGTAATTGTATTAGGGTAATATACTTACACGCATATAATTTTAATTAATATTCCTGTAAATTTCGATAAAGTGATAAACATAAATATATCATGGAATTCTTAGTACAATAACTGATTTTGTATTCATATTCATGACATAATAACTAGAATATATACCTATGGTATTTTTATTTCTATTAAACAAACTAAGAAAATTTTTTTTTTTTTATCAACATGTTGTGAAGTCTTTTAAAGTATGCGTTGTTATTTTATGAAAACAATGAACAACAACATTGACATTATATTAGTATGAGTTAAAACGATATCATCTAAATTTTAAAAGTTAAGGACAGTCGGGATCTAACGTAGTAGAGTTTAGAACATTTTTAATTAGTATTGATTAATATCTGATAGTCATTAAAATAATATTTGTAAAACTCCTAGATGTATTTGAAACAAATTAAAAAACAATTTGACATAGTTACAAAAAATTACATAATTCTTCAATATCTAGATTTAGGATAGTTTTTTACTCTAATGGCTATTTTATATTATAAAACAATCGAGGGATATTTTTTAAAAATATTATAGTGCACTTCAAAAGCTATAATTTAATGTTGTTAAAAGTTATCAGACTGTTCCGAAATATTTCTAAAAATTGAGTTGAAAATTTTGTTTTCAAAATTTTAATAATCACATTTTTTATCTAAATTTTTCTTTAATTTCACTCTTATTTCATTAAATTATCACTCTAACTATTTCATTATTAATATCGCATTTTAGAATGTATCTTTACTTTTATTTTAAGTTACTATGTATGTTAGGTGTTTTTTACCATATAGCTTCGATACGAATCTAAGAAAGTATTGGATTTATAATGATGTGTTTTTTTTTTATTTTCTTCCACAAAAATTCTCAGCTTTCACTGGACTAATTATAATGATCAATACGTCATAAGAACCTAAGTTTAATCTAGTTTAATCTAATGATGCTAAAAACTGAATAAAACTTCCTCAGTTTTATAAATTTAGAAAAATAACAAACAATTTCGCAATCGAAAAAATGNTGATACTAATGATACTAATGATACTAATGTACTAATGATGCTAAAAACTGAATAAAACTTCCTCAGTTTTATAAATTTAGAAAAATAACAAACAATTTCGCAATCGAAAAAATGTTCAATATTTCTTTCTGAATTTTAGTTTTGCTATAACATGTTTTTAAAAACATTGAACCTAATAAAATTTTACAAAAAAAAAAACAAGAGAAAATTAAATTTTCTTATAATATGCTTTTTATGAAAATTTAAAAATACTAAAAACATGCATAAAATAGAAATATGGTAAAAATTGCTATTTATTTTATAATAAGTTATATTCCAGAACAGTTATAATTTAATTAACAAAAAATGGTCCTCACATATGTATCTCAAAATACGTATATTTTTATGTCGAATTAGATTTTATGTATCTTCATTATTTATTATAGAGGTATTGAGCGGGTTATAGTAAACAGATCACTCTGTACAGAAAATGAAAAAGCTTTCAGAAATGGTTTCCAACTGTTTCGGTTTTTAATTTTAATTAGTATTGTTATTAACATTTTGAGAGAAAACGGGTACACTTTCAATAAGATTCTGTTGTCAAAACTTCAACAAACGGTATAAACATTTAATCCATTTATAAAAAGTTTTAATGAGGATACCCAGTCAAAAAAGTAAATAAAAAAAATGGAGTGTGTCGTATTTTAATTTTTTATTAAACCTTTTGAAATTAATATGAAAGCCTTAACTGACAAATATTAGTAGCTGATAAATCCTAAAACAAGCAAAGAAATTGGTTTTTCTTTTATCACTTAAATTGTTATAATTATTTTTTGTTTAATTTATACTGTGTAAAGTTTATATACTGGACTGATATAGGTGTACTAAAATGGTACAGTTGACTTACCTAGAACTCCTAGTCTATAGTTTAATGTGATAACGACTAGATCTGCGACACTTGCAAGAACGCGGCCATCATATGAGTTTCCAGAGTTCCATTCATATGACTCGCCATGGATAAACACTAACACTGGATATTTGCGAACGATTCGACTACCTGTAAAATAAAAAAAATATTTACTTTTATTTTATTTAAGCATTAGATAAAAAGTGAAAAAATAATAATTATTTCGACAATAATAAATACAAATAGTAAATTACAACAGATATAGTGTTTTTTGTTTAAGCATAATTAGTTTTTTTTTACACTTCTTGCAGCCTGTTGAGGGACATAGCGGTCTCTCTCGACGAAGAGGTTTCTTAAACAAGGATACTAAGGGACGACTAGTAAGTCCGTGATTGGAGGGAGGGTTGGTGACTCCAATTACTGAACTGATCTCTGGCTCAACAAACGGAGCCGTCCGTGACCGAATCTCAAACCCAAAACAGTGTGCACTAGGCATTGCCATGTTTCAGACTCGGCCACATCGTCCCTTTTATATTCGTTCAATTTTATATTGAACATAAATCCAAAATCGATATTCACTATCCACGTTACTTATTTTAGTTTATTATCTTTCAATTTTCCCTATTGCTTACGTAAGATTTTCTTTAATAATCGTATTGTTGTTTTTCAAGGCATCGAATGTATAACAATAAGTGTATATAAAAAATATTATTTTTTTTAAATCAACACAACACTGTATATTTTTTAAAACAAAGCTTTATAGTAAAAAAAATATATTTTGATAAAAAGCTATACTTTTTGTAAGTTGAACAAGTAATAAAATAAAAACTTATGAAAAAAATAAAACTTAGTAAATACAAGTATATTTGTTGTATTTTCCCCTATTAGTTAGAAACAAGAAAAATAGCAAATATTTAATATGAAAATTTATTTAAATTATCTCTTGAAACAAGTAGAAGAATCGACTTATAATACGTTTGTATACCAATATATTTTTTTAAATCTTCACTTAAAATAAAATATAAAAGCAGATTTCTATAAGCTACAAAAATGAATTTTTATTCAAATACAAAATCTTGACTGATCTGGTATTTAATTTTTGAATATCATGATCTGATTTTATAATATAAATATTACGAGAACATTTGATTTATAACACAAAAAATATTCTTAAAAAATAACCTATTTACATCATATGACTATTATTGTATTAAATTATTCATTATTCACAAACCATTATAGTCATAGTTTTTAAGTGAAAAATTAGTATTAACGTTTTTAATGTTACAGATATTAATAAGTCTTTAGAGCTTATACTTCTAGCTTATCTATCAATTAATGGTCATGATTCCTTTGTTGTAATTTTTAAACAGTGTGGCAAATTTAAACGTATCCTCTAAAAAAATAGTCTTAACGAAAGTCATTTAAAAGTTTTTAAACTAGATCATGTATCAATTTTTAATAAATATTTTTGGTGTCATGCAATTAAGTTAAATTAATTTTTTTTTAGATGGAAGCCAGTTGTAAAGAAAATTTTCAACTAAAATTTGTTATAATTACTAAAGTCATTTGAATATATTAATCAGGATATATATTTTGAATGAAGGATACTTACTTAATATTTATAATATTACTTCAGTTTTTTTATTATAATAAGAGAGAAATATTATAATATACTAAAACATTAAAAAAAAATAATTTTAAACGTATTTTGTTACTATTAATTAAAAGTATATTAAATAATGCCTAAATCCCAACACAATAAAAAAAAAAAGATATTAGTGTTTATGTGTTTAGCACTTATAGGGGTTTATTCTGTTTTTATTTGTTGTGTGCTGTAGAAAGAAAACCAAGTCATATAATGCCCTGAAACTCTTTATAGAACATCTAAATGCCATAGTGATTTCAACGAAACTCATAACAAACAATTCAATCGAATTGAATTTAAAAGATTTTCTATGAAAGATATCTTAATTATGAAACTTGATTAAAAATATTCTGGATTTATTTAGATGTCTTTATTTATTTTCAAATAAAAGTTTTTATTTTCATTAAAGACTTATTATTCTTCTAGAAAGTTGCGTCTATCCTATTCTTATACTTACTTCAGTTAAATAGAATATCTTAAAGTATGTAAATACTTTTAATACTATTGGAATAATTATAATAATAAGAATTAGAAATATTGCGCTGTTCGGCCCTACAAAATCAAAATTTGATTTAGTCCAAAATAAGATTATGACGAATGAAGTACGTGAGAGCATAAACTGTTTCATGTGTACCCAAAAACATCTGTCTGTCATACATGGAAGAATTGTTACGTTGTGGCGATATTCAGTTTACTTGTACTGCGTTGAAAGAGGTTTATTTTGACTTAAGCTTATAATCTAGTTCGTCCGTCTCCAAAACAGTAAAACATTACGAATAAAGTTTTGTGGACAAAAGTGCATGAGCGTACAAGTGCTTAGTCTGACAGGACAAAATATGAAAGGATTCCGTTAGTGAACATAAAAGTTACAAGAGTATTTTGGAGACGATTTATTAATCAAGACAGGGTATGTTACAAATTAAAACTTTGGATAAACACACTTTTCATAGTAGTTGTCATGGTTGGTAAAACTCGGCGTTTTAGAATTTGTTTCAAGTATTGTAGAACATCTGCTACCGTCATCCACCACACGCAATGTACATTACATATCTTTGCCATTATTTGATTGTAGTAATAGAATTTTACCGCAGACTTCACATTCTTGCACAGACTTATTCGCAAAAAAAAAAAAAAAAATCACTAATAAAATTGTTCACTTTATTAATATTAAAAAGTCTAGACACATGTTTTTTTCATTCCCTTAAAATATTGATGGAAAATTCTTAATATGTGTGTAGTTATTAATATAATATAAAGTGTTCTTATATAACTTAATTTAAAAAAAAGTCTTTATGAAAATATATGGGTGTGATTTATTTCTTAATTATTTTATCAGTGATGTGTCAGGAATTTTCTTATTTTTAAAGCTTTTATGGCAAACTGTTTTCATTTCTCTCAATATTTTATCTTATCGACACCCGGCATTGATTAATGATTGTTAAAGTAAAACGCTGTCATCGAAAAATCTTTTAATATTCATTTTATTATATCTTAACATCAAATTATTTATTCTACAAGAATGTAACCAAAATAATATCAATAATCAAATTGAACAAATCTAATTACCAACTAATTACATGAATACATCTAATGATAAAATAGTGGCCTGGTATTTTTTAATAACTTTCAAATAAATTATACCTATAACGCAGGCACATGTTAAAATTAAGTAAGAAGAAGGAAAAAAATGATTGAATTAAATTTTACTTATTCAAAATATCGAAGAATACTTTCATAAAATAATTACGTTATGAAAACACATTTTTGAAAATAAATCAATCAATTTTTGTATAAATGCGCAAAAAATATATTAGTCTTTTTTTCAATAAGCTAATAAAAAAAATTCTCGTGTTAGAGTACTGGTTTGGAAGTGAGTACTCTTCAATAAAATGACAGTTTTCATAAAATTATTGCTGTTTATGTTTTTACAAAAGACCGAAATTCGATCAGTGGGGTGGTAGAAAAAGTACTTGTTGGAGAGAATGCCAGTTAAGCTTTAATAAAAAAGAATGAGAAAAAACGAAATAGAGAAAACTACCCATAAAACACCAAACTCCTCCCTGGTGCTATTTTTATTTCATTCACAGGCGTTAGGAAGCTAGGCTATAACACTCAAGGCACATTCGAATTGAAAAATCGGTTTCCACAAAGTGCTCTGCTGAGAATCGTATAATCTATCTGCCAGCTGCATTGCAATATGGCAGTGGACAAATAATAGCTGTAAAAAAGGAAACTAGTTTTGTATTTGACTGTTAAAAACTGCATAGTTTATAATTATAATTCAATCTAATTTTAACACTGGTTGGTTTGGGTTTGGTATGTTACATCTGTTAAAAGAACGTGGCAAGCTAATAAATAAAATGAATTAATTTTTTTTATACACTATAAACGAATTTGACAGTGGCGAAAACTTATTTTATATTTATAGACTACGAATTTATTGTAAGGACGAACCATTCCGTTAAATGGCTAGGTGGAAACGTCAAAGATGGCGACGGAAAATATAAGAGTAATATGATTCGTACGTGTTTTTTGGACACTATAACATTATATCTTATGATAAAATGCTACAAAAGCAAGTAACCACGTTTTGCCTACCAGAAAAAAAAGAATGTTTCGTCATTTTGTAAAAGAAGTGTTTATGATCTTGCGAAAATCATATAAATATGAGAATTATTTTGTGTCTATTTAAATGAAAGATTAGCTTACATACCAAAATGCAATTGATAGATGGTATTTATTTAGATTATATTTTTGTAATATTGTTGGCGTTCATTAATATTCATGAAATCGACAAAACCTGTGAAAACACTACCAAATGTTGGTTTACCATTACCTATGCCAAAGGGAGTTGTTAGTTGTCCGTTACTTTTTTTTGCCAATTTTTTTATTACCCTTGGTGAGTAAAAAAAGAACTTTAGAGCTATAAGAGCTAATGGCTTGGAAACCCTTTTCTGTTTTTACCATCTATTATTGTTCTAGGTATCCTAAAATCTTTTATTTATTCAAAGTTAATGTCCACAAACGTGTAGTTTTTTTTTAAATTAGAGGTATATAAAATCAGAATTACAAAGACTACTTTAAAAAAACTGCGTGTAATATATATTTTTAAGATTGTAATCTCAACTAGTGTGCTTATTGTTCCACACCAATTCAAGTAAACAACATTATTTATAGACTGTATGTGTATTATAGAAAAAAATTAACTTATAGTTTACACCTGATAAATAATAAAATATTCTACCAGTGTTTTAATAATATAAAACAAGCATTATATGAAAGTGTTGAAAATTAACATTGTGACATATATATTTATACGCCAAACAAGGAAAAAATTTCAAATAATATTCTTAATACATCTCCTTATGTAAAGAGAGAATAAATTAAATACTTTTACAAAATAGAGATGTTTTTTGTTCTAGTTTTTTTTAAATATTTAAAATAATTTCAAAGTCGTTCTAAATATAAACGTTACGATTTGTATAATTATTTACTAATAATT